AGCACCTCATTAAAAGATGATCATTTCACACAATGCAATTAACATTTAATATTTGCTGCTGCAAGATATGATAATGTCCTGTATCTTGGATTTATATGGCCAAATTGCCTGAAAAGATCAGGCAATTAATATGTGAAATTTTCATATTGAATTGCAATGTAAGTCCTGTTTTGCAGGTGTTTACAGTAGGTGACCTACAGTCTCTTTCAAATTCATACATTCTATAATTTTTATGACTATCATTTGTTGCAAAGCAAACAGATGAGAGTCATGTTTCATTTTTATATTCTTTTTTTTTTTGTAAATATTTTTTATTTTATTTTTTCAAACATAAAATATAACTTTCAAGAACAGAGTCTCGATCCGGTCATAGATGGTTACCACGCTTACATTCCTTTAACAAGCTCCATTCACAATTTCCCATTACATCTTTTACGGATAGAAATTCAAAACATAAAAGAACAGATTTTAATATAAAGTCTAGCACCTTCACCTAAACAAATCCATTATATCAATACAATTTTAATTTCAAATTAACTTTCGCTCATTTTTATATGTATATATCAATCCTGATTTTATCTTGTTCTTCTTCACCTTATATCTTTTACCATCAGTGTCAAAATAATTTTTAACAATATTCTAACCTCTTATTCTAATTATTTACCTTACAATTTTATCATCACAAATCTTAATTTCAAATTCAATACAACTCCATTTTTATTACACTTTATAAAACCAAATTCTATCTAATTCTTAATCTCTTAATCTCTTTTCCTCGAATCTTAGTATCTTAAACACACATAAAAACACTTATCATCTATTACAGTTTTCATATTACTCAGGTTTACCGTAAAAACATATTTTATTTAAATTAATTTCTGGCTTATTTTCTTCCATACCTCCCTCTATTGTTTGGCTGTTTTCCAGCATATTATGTTTGGCTGATTCCCAACATAGTCTCCTCCAGAGCACCAACTATTTTTGGCTTATTTCCAGTATAGTCTCCTCCAAGCCTACCACCATTATTGGCTAATTTCCAGCATATTATTCCAGCATAATCTCCTCCAACTCTCCTCCTATTTGCTTGGCTGATTTCCAGCATTTTATTGGCTGATTTCCAACATATTATGTTTGGCTGATTTCCAGCATAGTCTCCTCCAACTCTCCTGTAAGTGTTTGGCTGATTTCCAGCATTTTAACTAGTTTCCAACGTATTTCCTCCGAGTCTCAAACTCTTATCTAGTTGGTATCCATCCCTCTTATTTTAATTTTCTCTTAAAATATAGTTATCTATTTTGTGTAAGTTTCCCAACATGCTCTTTCAAATTAATTCTCAATATATTTCATAATAATCATCATTTCCAGCATATATTAAATTAAATCACAGTTTGTTGCTAAAATCTGTGTATCTTATAGTTTTGTTCAATAAAACCTTAGTCAAGCATAATCACCAATCTAGCATTTGTTTGCATATTAAAATTAAAATATATTATATCAAACAGTAAATTTTCTTAAAGTTGTCTCACATTAATATATACTCTTCTTTAATATATTAATATATACTCTTCTTTATTGTTTTTAGCCACCTATAGATCATCCTCTATTTTAGTTGCCATCTCTTATTTTCTATTTTTATTACTCCAAAAAACCCTCCTATGATTTTTATGACTATCATTTGTTGCAAAGCAAACAGATGATGAGAGTCATGTTTCGTTTTTATATTCTTGTGAAGCTTTATGAAGGCACTTAGATGGTTCTTTTAGAAAGCAGAATTCTGATCTAACCTGCTGTAATCCAGTATTTTAAAATGTTCCCAGTCTGGGAAATTCTCCATCATCTCCATCTCCCTTTTTTAATAGGAAGAATTTTCTTACACTCAATATTTGAAAACAAATTTATTAAATCTGTATATTCTGAGAAATTGTTATTTTTATTTTTTGACTATACCAATAAAATGATTTTTTTTCTTATTTCAAAATAGTTAATATGATTGCTCTTTGTATAATTTTATTTTCTAATTGACAGGGCAGTTTTATAGTGAGAATAATGTTTTCTTTCTAGCATTGAAATTAATTAGATTTATTATAAAATATTTTTAATTGTCCCTCAACTTTTTCTCAACTCTGTATGAACTTCCACTGGGGTGAATTATGTGGGTACTGTAAGGTGTATAGTGTGAAGTATAAGGTGGCAGTCAATGTATTTCAGTCTTAGTTTTTTTAAAAAGAGACTCAGTTCCTTAAAATTTTTATTTTGAAATTATAGAAGCTGTGTGCTCAAGATCATGCAGTAACATACTATCTCATCTTTCATTCTTACACAGTTATAAAATATTAATTTCATTGTTCTTCTGGATCAAACTCTTTCCTCAATTCTATCATTTTAAAAAAGTTCCAAATTCTATATCCTGCTGTGAAAGCTTTTAATCCTCGTGGAATTCTATATTGATCTTGTTTGTCAAAAAGAAACTAATACAGTCCTTCAGGTTTTATTATTTTCCTTCTGCTGTTTAACATTTGTATGAAGTCACTGGGAGAATAATTTATAAGTTTAGTTTAGTTGCTGATGAAGTGAACTGATGGTAATATTATGTATCAAACCAAGTTGCCGTTGCCCTGAATCACAAACCAGACAAAGTATGACCCTTGCTAGCTTTGGAGCCCCCAGTTATTTGATCATGTCATAGTGGATGAAATCCTGAACTTCACCATGCCTCACATCACTCAAGGGCAGTAGGAAATTGGAAATTGAAATTGCCAAGAATCATCAGCCTTGTTGATTCCACTGTTGATCCAGTACAAATTCAACATTTCTGGCAGAGATGTTACTGCCCAGCAAGGCGGTTTGTATGGTAACAACCTAACTCTCTGTAGACTGCAGCCTCAGACAACCTCACATCTGGTTAACTGTGGAAGAGACTCTTTGGAAGCCATCAAGCTTTTGAAATTACCACCTATCCTATCCTGGGTTTGTGACTGATATGCAACCCTGGTGGGTAGAGAAGGAAATATCCCTCTCTGGATCTATCCAAGACTTGGTCAACTACAAAATCATGGATGAGATTGGTCTTATTACATTCCTGGTAATCAATAGTAACAACTGGATTCTAGGGATACCCAGTGACCTGGCATTAGGGTGAATACTGAGGATTGGATCAGTCTCAACCATTGATTCCCACTACCTCTGTGAATGGCCCACTCTCAGATTCCTGTCTTATTTTCTTCTGCCAGCCAGGATTGTGATCTTAGTGCCTGTTTTCCCACATTCTTTGAGAACATTCAAGAATATTCTCAATCCATAAATTCCCAGCCTATGTTGCTGGGTACTCAGTTTACTATTTTTGGTTCTGGATGGGGTTGCACTTCCATAAACAAAATTAGTTTATTATCTGGAAAGTCAGCTTCTATATTCAAAACAGATGGCAGCTGTGAATAGAAGACCCTTTTCGCAATTATGTATTGCCTGCAAGGTATGATCATACATACCCAGAGGCCCTATTTAGCAGTAACATACTTAATCCACTCATTTAGACTAGAATAGCGTCACATGGGACTGCCCTTACAGAGATCACAAAAAAATGTATTAGTTCAAGTAATGTTGGATTCCATGTAACACTTCAGAAGCTGCACTTATTTTATGAGTGCAACTGAAAGTTGATTGTTACCTATAAAGCTTTAATGCCCTAGGACCATGATGGCGAACCTATGGCACGTGTGCCACAGATGGCACGCGGAGCCATAATAGTGGGCATGCCAGTTGATTTTCGGGCCTACCGGAAGTTGGGAATCGGGCAGTTTCCGGCCTCCAGAGGGCCTCCAGGAGGGTTGGGAAGGCCGTTTTCGTCCTCCCCAGGCTCCTAGAAAGCCTCTGGAACCTGGGGAGGGAGAAAAACAGCCCTACCGTGCCATCACATGCTAAAAGTAGTGGAAACGTGGGGGTGGGTGGGTTGTGTGCGCATGCCTGGGGGGGGCAGGGCACATTGAATTATGGGTGTGGGCATGATGACAAAAAGGTTAGCCATCACTGCCCTTGGATCTTGATGGCAAACCTATGGCACGCATGCTGGAAGTGGCACACAGACCCATCTCTCCAGGCATGTGAGCTGATACCCGTTGCTCTTCCAGGTTCTGGCATGCCGGTTAGCTGGTCTTCAGGCGTGCGGGAGTGCCGGAAACCGGAAGAACAGCTGCCCAGTGCGCATCTGCACACTTGCTTTTTTGGTTTCCAGTGCGTGCCTGCCACCTCATCTTCCAGTTTCTAGCGCACATGCATGCAGGAAGACCAGCTGGCCGGAGCACATGCACATGCCGGAAACCAGAAGATCATCTTCACAGCGCACGCATTTGTACCAGGCAGCTGTTCTTGCAGGTTCGCCAATACTGCCCTGGGATCTGGATGTCTGTTCTAGTGGTTTCCACTGAGCCAATAGGATTTGAAAGAGTAGCTTCTCTTAGGTAACTTCTTTTAGACAGTGTCATCTGTACGGATCTCTCCCGCTCTCACTCCCTCAAGTTAAATTAGTTACTTTCCCAATAACTTTCTGGAAACTGAGCTCTGCAAGGGTTTTTGAATGCATAAGTGCCTCAAAGGGGAAAGTATATGTTAAAGTATGTGCTTGATATTTGTTTAGTCTTTTGAAATGGAGTTTATTGTGCTTGTACTTCATTTATTTGCTTTTTTAAAAAAAAATCCTTTTGAGGTAAGGTGCTCAGTTTCATAGAATAGGTGACACAAAAGCCACAGTGAATAAACAGATTTCTTTATATATAATATACAAGTGACCTAAGCAGTATTGCTTGAAAAGTTATTTTAGGAAAAATAAATTTAATTATTTAATTTTATTTATTTATTAAACTTTTATGCCCCCCCGCCTCCCCATCTCTGCCAGAAAGTTGACCCTATACCAGATTTAGAAAAAATATTAAAGAAAAATATGATCAATCTTCAGTTTAATAAAAAAAATCTAGAAAAATATAAGAAATATTCTCTTTTGGTTGCAGTTGGTGTGATCAGATGCCCAATTTGTCGCCAAGAATGCAGACAAATAGATTTGGTAGATAACTACTTTGTCAAAGATACATCTGAAGTACCAAGCAGCTCTGATGAGAAAACTGAGCAGGTATGTCACTTCCAGCTTTTCCTCTTTGCAACATAGTTTGATTTACATTCTGTGTAGGGTAATACATTGTGCATTTGGTAATTTCCAGAATATGTAAACATTTAAAGATAACATTTTTCTTGATTCTAGGTCTGCACCAGTTGTGATGATAATTCTAGTGCTGTTGGGTTCTGTGTGGAATGTGGAGAATGGCTTTGCAAAACCTGTATAGAAGCTCATCAACGTGTAAAATTTACAAAGGACCATATGATCAGAAAAAAAGAAGATGTTTCTTCAGGTGAAAATATTGATTGAGTGGTTATGATGAAATACTTTGAGATATGTCATTTGCCTAAAATATTGAAAATCCATGATGTCATTTTCATACAAAGGTTGAGGAACTTGCATGTAATCAACTTAAAAATACTATTGAATGTTTATCTTGTGGATGGTTTTATTCAGCTGGAATGTTTAGAGAGCATAGTGCAAATTGCCATTACTATCTTATACTGTAATTTCATTTATATCAATATTTCATGCCAATTTTTCCAATGTTGAGCTTGAGAGATATTTTAAGTTTTAAATAATATCTCTCTCTTATATTTAAACACCCCATTTTGCAACATCTACAAAATATTTCAAAATCCTATGTCAGAAATAGTCTGACAAATAAAGCTAAAACCAGTAATGCTAAAACAGTTTAAAACAGATTAACATTTAAAGCCAACATAAGTGTTCATTCTGAAAGATACTGAAACTCCTCCTGCTCTGGTCTGAAAAAGAAGCCCACTGAATACAAGCAGGGTTTCCAACCTCAGAGAGGATTTTGTACTACTTTAAGCGTTTTTCAGCCCCAGTGTGGTCTCTCTGCTCTAGGACTGAAAATCCTGCTGGGAGTTTGGTATGGACCTCTCAGCAGCTGGCAGCAGTTTGACTTTCTGAAGAAGCTCACAGGAAACTCCCAGATAGAGTAGTTTAAAATGTTGTTTGAATTTTGTCAGTGTCTTTAAGATACAGTGTTGAAAGGTAGTTTTCTTACAAATGATGTATAATTAGCAAGGTACATCATGTTTTAAAATAGATATTACAGACTTCAATCATGCAGGATTTACTTTTAAAATAATTTGAGAGTGACCAACTAGTATAAAAGAGCTTTTATCATAGAGGGTGATACTGTATTTATGTTCTGCAGGAGTTGAGAAATGGCATTTGAGATTAAGCGATGATTTTAGAGACAAAGAATTGCAGGTACTCCTCGATTTATGACTGTTTAATGTTGGTTTGAAGTTACAATGACCTTGGAAACTGTCACTATCCATCCTTGTGATCATGTGATCAAAATTCAGGCTCTTGGTAGCCACTTCGTATTTATGATGATTGCAGTGCCTTGCAGTCATGTAATCATAATTTGCAACCTTCCCAGCTGGCTTCTGACAAGCAGAGTCAATTGGGCTTTGTTCAGCAAGCATGTATTTCACTTAATGACCACAATGATTTACTTAACAATCACAGTAAAAATGGTCATAAAATTGGATCTGGTCATGTAATGATGCTTTAACTACTGCATTGCTTAATGACCAAAGTTGTCATAAATTGAGGACTATCTCAAAAAGAGAAAAAAGTTGTAGTGGTAAGATGAGACAAGGTCGGTTAGTTTTGTAAATGTGAATAATGCTGGCCTATGTATAGCAAAAAATTACCACCGTATCTTTTTCTTAGGTATACAAATAAATGTGAAGACTCCCTTTGTCCCTTTGGCTAGCTAAGTAATTAAATTGCTAGCCATGGGTTATTGCAACTAATTTGCCCATTAATCTAGATACTGATTTGCTGAAGATATATTAGTTAGTGCTAGTATATTTCCTGAAAGAAGCAAACAGCTTAGCAAGATAGTTCGTGTAATATTAATTGGAGGTCAGTGAAACATTTCAGTCAGGATAAACAGAAATAATGATAAAACAACAGTCTTCAGCTAGCTTTCGTTGTCTGCATTACCAATTATATTGGTTTGTGACTTGGACAGTCTGTCTCTTTCAATACAGAAGCTGTTGGAGCATCTGGTCAACGTCCTGTTTTTTGTCCTGTGCACAAACAAGAACAGTTAAAACTTTTCTGTGAAACCTGTGACAGGCTGACGTGCAGAGATTGTCAGTTACTGGAACACAAAGAACATAGGTATAGTTGTCTGTGTCTTTCTAATACACCTTTTCTTATATAGATAACTTTGAAAAACAACCCTCAAATAATTACTATATTTAAAGTCGTCTTTCCTTTTGCTTTTGTGCCAAATAGGCTTATAGTAATTCAGCCTGTTGTTTCTAAACCTGATATAGTTAGGTCATGTAACAATTAAAAATAAGTAGACAGCTAAATAAAAAAAATCTTTGTCAATGTAATCATGACTTTTAATTGTTAACTTTATATATGTTTGTACATTAGTAAAGCAATGTTCTTTGATTTTAGATGATACCTGAAGCAGGTGCCATTTTAGAAAGAAACATTCCCTCCAGTATGGTGGTGGTGGGTGGGAGGAAGGAAGGAAATGTCTCTTCTAAGTTAGTACCAGTGCTTTTGGTTCTTGTAAGTACACTTGTCTAAAAAAATATTTTTTGTAAACTATATTGCCTAATTAACCAGAAGTATTTTTAACATATCAGGATTTCATAAATAGTTTAAAGTTGCACCACTAAACTTAAGAGATGTTTGTAGTTTTCTTTTGCGTTGTTTTTTTTTTTTAGATCAGCATTAATAAATTGAGTAAAAGAAGGATAACAACAAATTTTAATGGTAGTTTAGCTACAAAATTTTCATTACATGATTTAGGTCTGTGGAGCACATTGGATCCTGAGGGAAAAATGTATTTTGGAGTACATATAGGTATGCATCTGTAGTAACTTTTTAAACCAAATATATATTTTCCCGGATTCACTCTGAACTTTGGAGGTTAGCAGCACTATGCCAGGAATAGACACAGATGTTTTAATTGTTGCTGACAGATGCTTTGCGAGCACTTCCATATCCTCTGAGGCACCTTCCTTGAACTGATTAAGAAAATTGCTGGAAGAAGTTACATTTCATAAATGCTGAATTATTACTTGCTAAGATGCTATTGGAATCAGCAATGTTACTGCTGATATTTTAACAACAGTTGAACTTATCTTTGAATAGGTTACACTTTAATTGTTTTTAAAAGTTTTTAAGAGAGATATAGTGGTAATTAGTTCTAGCAAGTTCAGTTTTGTTGAATGGACAGTATAGCTTTTGTATAGAAACTGTGTTCATATCTTGTTCAAAACCAAGGCAAATTCTGTTCTGTTAGAATTACAGATTTGGAAGTCTGTATCAGTTTTATCAGTTTACTTAATTTTGTCTCTGATGTCTATAAATGAACAGAAGGCATAAAAATATGGGAAGCATTCTTTTCTCTCCTCCTTTCTTAATTCTCTCATTAGGAATCTTAATTGTGTTAGGTACTTACGACTAGTACTAAAGATATAAATAGCAATATGTTCTTATATGTTTATATATGAAAATATTTTTAATGGTTTACGTCCATGCTATATCTTTCTATTTCTCCCCTTTATTACTTAACATGGTTAAAGACATTAAATTACTTTAGTTCTCATCTGTTTTTAAAATAATGTATTGTATTAATGTATGTATTAAGATACTTTGGCAATCTGGGTTTAGCATAGTATAAATAATAGATATGTATCATATTATGTGTTTTTAATTTAGTTTATCTAGAATATTTAAGTAAGAATAGTAAATTTGAAGTATCAATAGGGAAAATGTTTTTGATGGACTATTGGCAATAGTCCTGATGCTTATCATATACCAATTGTAATCTGAATGAGCACAATAGACAGATTTGTATGGTGTATATTCTGGTGATAAAAGGAGACAAAGTGTCTTCTTCAGAGTTCATATATATCTTTCCCAATTAAATGTGTATTGGAAGCAGGCAAGATTACCATCAGTCAGCAAAAACAACTATTCATTGGTCTGCCTCTGGATTTCATATATGAGTAGCTGTTTTGACAAAATGCCATAATACAATAAAGTTCTCACATTATTTAGAATCTTAATTTCTTGGCAATTATTATTTTGAGACACGAGACAAGCTATGGCAAGGGTGTCAAACTCGTGCCATCACGTCGTCATGTGACGTATTGGGACTTTCCCCCCTTTGCTAAACAGGGGAATGGGCATGGCCAGCGCGTGATGCATCTGGCCCATGGGCCATAAGTTTGACAGCCCTGAGCTAGGGTATGATTCTGATGACATAGAGATGCATCTGTTCATACACAATAAAAATGTGTTGGTAATGTCTAAATTCAGAAGAACCTGGGTTTATTTTAATACCTCTACAGTATGTGATAGTTTACCATCTTATTAATAAAAAGTAATAATACTCTGACTTCTCATAGTATGTGGACTCTGTTTTCTGGTTTGGAAGGTATCAGTTTTTGGAAGAGGCATTTCAGAATCAAAAAGGTGCTATTGAGAATCTCTTAGCCAAACTCCTTGAAAAGAAGAATTATGTTAACTTTGCAGCTACTCAAGTACAAAATAGGTAAGTAACAATTTCATTAAAAGAGCTGATATTTTATTTAAATTGAGTGAATTGTTAAAATTTCAATATCAGATGGCTTTCCTTAAACAGTTGGTAACAGTGATAACCAAGTTTCTACAAAAAGAAACTTCTTTTTTTAAAAAAATAATTTTTATTGAACTTTTGACTTTTAAAAACAAAATAAAGAAAAATACAACAAAAACAAAAACACATTTAAACATAACAAACATAACATTACATCATATATTATTTTACAGTTTACTACAAAAAGAAACTTCTATATACCAGCTGCATGAAAAAGCACAGATGGCCATGTAGAAACATTGTACAAATGTTTATTTTTAGGGATATTTAATTACTTTGATATTTCATCTCAGGTGAAATAATTTAGTGCTTTTTTTCTCATTTTAAAAGTCATTGTAAGGCATTGCCAAGAGAAGTCAAGAGATGTTAACTCACTTAACCAACCATTTAAAATTCTACGTGTCAGAGCTTCTTGAGGCAAATAAATTGTGGTGCATCTGCTTGCAGTGATCGATATAGCAGATCAAGAGATCCATAAATGCCATTAAAGAATATTAATTTAACACATCTGGTAAACATAGTATACTAAATACAAATCCTCCTACATTGTTTGACCTTTATCCTTTCCTGTAGTTTGTTATAATTGGCTGTCAGTGACCTTCTTATGATCAAAGTCTGCCATGGAAAGTCCATCTAGAATTTCTATCAGATTGCTATGGCAATAATTGGATAGGCAGCTATAGTTATTTGTTACGAAAAGAAAGTAAGAACAGCTAGATAGGTGAAATAGCTGGATTTTTTTAATTGTGATAAATTATTCTTAGTTAAGTTTTACTGTTTTTTTTTAATAATGTAGAAAATCAACAGAAAACTGACTGTCATTTACAGCATGTAAAATACTTTTTTTAAAAACCCAGGAGCAGATTTAAATGAATAACGTGTAGTAAAAAGAACCTTAAAAATTATAAATAATAGTTGTGATTTTTAATGCTATCTTTACTTAAGATAATGATATTTTGTATGAATCTGCATCAATTTCTATGTTGAATTTTCATTTACGTGGGGAGGGGCGAATGTTGAAGATATTGTAATATAAGTGACGACAGATTTCTCTCTTTTCAGGGTAAAAGAAGTAAATGAAACTAACAAACGAGTAGAACAGGAAATCAAAGTGGCTATTTTTACCCTCATTAATGAAATCAATAAAAAGGGAAAATCTCTCTTACAACAGCTTGAGGTACAATTAAATTTAACTGAACATAATGTGGATATCAATGTATATTATTCTTTTGATTTAAATGACCTTTTAATAGCTCTTTTCTTGATATACCCTGTTGTCAGTGGCAACAAACTCAGTTTGTATTTCTTTCCAGTTTAATCTGGTCATAGGAAGATTAGAAGCATCCATTTTCACTTGGAAGCAAAAGTCTGGAGAATTTTGTTGATTTAATTTAGTCTATAGTTTCTCCAAAGAAGTTTAGAATTGGATTAGTTTATAAGCGTAGTGTATAAACATACAGTAGTTTAATTCAATCAATACAAGGTTTAAGATATTGGTTTTCCCTTAAGATTCAGTCTCCACCCCAAAATTGAAAATGTTAGCCTATCTAGTGGAATAGATGCTCTGAAATCCAGAAAAGGTGTTCTGACAAATGACCTCTCTTGATCTATATCATAGCCTGATTTCGTTGGCTTTGGTTTAGCACTGTTAGGACGTAGTTAGCAGCCAGAAAAGTCCAGGCTAACTTGGTGAACTAAATTGAATATGAGAGTAGGAATGCAAAGAATATAAACATGCATCTATTGTCAGTAAAACACTCAAAGGGCTATAGACAGTAGGAAATCTGATTCCCTTCTTTAGAGGGGGTGGGATTGGAAGACATTGGAAAAAGTTTGAGATCTGCCCAGATAAAAATTCTAAACTACCATTCCTTGCTCAGAAACTGCTGTTGGTTGTGATTCTCATAGTGTTTGTGGGAATCTGACAAGAACATTATATGAACCCATCCAGTTGTAACTTATTTTTTTTTAAAAAAACATAGTTAAATCTGGTAGTATGATATATAAAATAAAACGTAATATTAACCTCTTCTTTAGTGTTGTTTGGAGTCTCCCTTTCTCAATATGGAAATGGTCTTCTTTCATTAGCTATCCTGTTTCTATGTCTGCAGAGCCTTATTCAGGAGCAGGCTAGCTAAAACTATTGGTTGCCATTCTACATTAATGCAAGTGCTGAAGAGTTACACCACCAAGCCCTTTGCTTTATCCACTACAGCAGTTTTGCTCTATCCATTACAGCAGTTGCCTTATTCTTACTTTCTCTTTTTGAGTGTGGTTGAGCTGAGTTCTTTTTCATTTAATTTTTACTCAGACTTAACATAAAGTTTTATTTCTTCTTTATTATGGTCCGTGTATTTATGCTACATTTTATTTTATGTTTTATCTTCTATGTATATCCTTAGTCTTGACTGTGACTTCAGGGGCTACACTTAGAAAATCTGCTGTTGTGAGAATACATTGCCCTTACAAGGCAAGGATTGTTATAAAGGTGATTCCTGTTGTTTTTGTGAGGATTTTTTTGAATAGGCTTATTATAATAAATCATCTAGACTTCATATGTTTGAGAATACTTTCAGATATGAATGTGATAGTCGTCAGTACAGGCATTTAATACCTTTACTATTTTTTACTAAATGTTAAATAAAGCCTTGGTAGTACAGTGGTCTAAAGCACCCTGTTATTAAGACCAGCTGCCTGCAATTACTGCAGGTTCGAATCTTGCCAGGCTCAAGGTTGACTCAGCCTTCCATCCTTTCTAAGGTAGGTAAATTGAGGACCCAGTTGTGGGGGCAATAAGCTGACTTTATATAAATATACAAAAGGATGAAGGCTATTGCTTAGCGCATTGTAAGCCGCCCTGAGTCTCCGGAGAAGGGTGGCATATAAATCAAATGTAAAAATAAAATAAAATAAAATAAACTTATACAGGACCCGGTCTGGTCTGGTATGGTCTGGTTGTTTCACTAACTGCCAGATCCCTTAGTTGTCACTATAGTATTGATAAATGAACCTAGATTAAGGATGCTGCTGATTTTAATATAACAAAAGATTCCAGACTGCCACTATCATAAAAAGTTGTCATAAACATTATTATCCATATCTTTGATTTCCAAGAAATGGGCAACCATTTCTGAATTCACAGAAATAGTTATAAAGCATATTTTTTCATCATTTGAATTTGAATTACTGAATTTACTCAGTTAAAAAAAAAGACAAAAAAAAGCAGGAATTAAATTTAAGAGATGTTGATTACTACATCCCTACTGATGCATTTATATTTTTAGTATCAGCATTTCCTCTTAGAAAATGAACTGGGAATGAGCATTCCCAGAAAAAAAAGTGCTATGTCAAGGTGTTTGTACAGAAAGGCCGTGACATCTGTTAAACTACAAATTAATCCAGAGCGGGCAACATATAAATTTAATCAATAAATAATAATTCAGGTTCTGGAACAGATACTGCTATAGTATGCTAACTTCTTGATACTGTTTCTTCTGACATCTCTTTTTGAGGTGTTTTGTGGACTAGGACTGCATTTGGCCTTTGAAAGGCATATCAGAAACAACATTCTGGGTAAAAAAGGGCAAAGCCAGAACAATTACTACATTGGATTTAGCCGATTTAATTTAAATGTTTATTGATTTAAATTTAAAATACGATTTCTTCCTATGTGTTTAATAATTTTCCTATTCTTCCACTTTAAATACTACAATTTAATAGAAACATTTGGAATTCAAAGGGGCTTGGTGTCATTTTTTCCCCTCTCACCAGTGTCTTAGTCTGCTTTACATCTTTGATGTAATACTTCTGTTGATTCTTGGATTTTTGAAGTTGTCTGGAAACTTTTTTTTTTTTTTTTTAATTTGATTTATATGCCGCCCTTCTCCGGAGACTCAGGGCGGCTTACAGTGCGTTAAGCAATAGCCTTCATACTTTTGTATATTTATACAAAGTCAGCTTATTGCCCCCACAAACTGGGTCCTCATTTAACCTACCTTAGAAAGGATGGAAGGCTGAGTCAACCTTGAGCTTTGGAGAGATTCGAACCAGCAGTAAATTGCAGACAGCTGTGTTAATAACAGGGTGCTTTAAACCACTGTAGTACCAAGGCTCTTTTCTTAGACAGTTGTACCTATCTTCCTTTTTGAAAGACATCTCTGCTCCACTGTGCAAAGGAGTGATCGAAGAGGGTTATTATGATTGGCTAGTACAGTTTAACATATTTCACTCTTCTCCAAAAAGTGATGTGTCATGTTAAGTCTTCAGGATGTCAGCATTTTTATTACATTGAAAGACTCCATAAAGCAAATGTTCTCTCATCATGAACGCTGAAGCCTTGTTTACTTCTCAGAAATAAAGTTACTTTTAAGTCAGTTCCAGCTCTTGGTGACTTCAGGGCCACACATTCATTCAGTTCTCTTGGTAATAAGATGCTTTCCACAGCCTGCTTCTGGAATATCTTTTTAGCTTCTTAGTCTGATATGTAGCTTTGAAATTCATGGCAGTGTCCCATCTAGGAACTAACTGAGCCCAGACTATTTAGGGTTCAAGTCAAAATCGGCCAAGTGTTGCCACCTGCTAAGACATTTATTATAACATATTTTAAAAATTGTTTATCTTCAGTTAAATAGCAATCATACCAAACCACACTTCTCATTGGTAGGATTTTTACATTCTTATGCATGTTAACATAAAAGCTAAATGAAAATTCTTTGGAAACTTCTCCCACAAATTCAGGTTCCGAAACTTAGTTGAAATTTGTCAATGATTCTTGCAGAATTTTCGTTACTACTTGAACTTTTAAATGACTTCTCACTGCTGACTTTTCAACTATCTTTCTTAGTGACAATCACATCAGTATAACAGCCTGACAAAGTGTACATCTTGTGTATTGATCATACATAAAATTCCACAAAAGAGTTCTTTGACTTGATTTAAATCTTTAAAAAAAATTCCATCTCCTTACTAGTGGTAAATCAGCTTGATGACCACTCATGTATGTAATGCAGAAATCATTGGGAAGATCAGGTTACTTACTTGCAGCTGCAGTTGTAGTAATCTGTTCTTTTCTTGTTGTCAGTGTCAGTTGGCATAGTTTCTAACCTTTCTCAATGAGGGCCTTCCAAATACACTCAACTATACAATGTTTCTTCTTGCGGTTTGATGTAGAACCCTAACTGTGAATAAACAAATGTGTAATCAAAAACCTGTAGTTACAGGTAAGCAAACTGATTTTCTTATTTAAAACTGTTTACATAATTGTAAACATTCATTCTAGAACAAAGTAAAGGAACAGTTGCAGAAGCTGCTTGACTGTAATACTAAGTATGGTTCTTTCTTGTGAAGTCTTATTAAAATCTTTGCCTGTGTTGAGTGCAATATGATTTATTTCAGATTTCTTACTAGTAATATTTTGCTTTTTTGGATCTACTGGTATGTTTTTTGATTATATCGTCTCTTATTTTTAAGTGTAGGACAGACTGCAGGATGGGACTTAGAAGCATATTAATAAAGTTGCTCAGGCAACCTCCCCCCCCATGCCTAGTTGAAACATCTTCTACAATATTGAATAGATAGATTACAGCAGGGTTACAAATGTTGTGCTAAGTGTTACAGTAGTTTATTCTACATCCATAATCTGTCAGTTGAAAATTTTAAATTGAAGCTAGAAGGCCATCAATCAGTATATTAATCTTTGTACTTCATACTAGATTTATTTCCCTCAATTTAATACCCTAATTTTGCAATACAAGTATTACAAAACCATAATACCTGGACAGGATGAGAAACTAGACTTGATCATTTTGAATAAAATCTCTTTCAATATCATTGATATGAATACAATGTTAGTAAAATTATAGAAAACAAATATTGAGCAGAAGATTAATGAGAAAGAAAGCATGGTTACTATTATTCTGAATGATAAATACTTTTAGAGACAGAGGTAGAGTAACAGTAACTTACCAAAATATTATTGGGTTTGAGTTTCATCAGAAAATGTTGAGATTTGTTTAGTGTAACCCAACAGTGGAAAATGTTACTTATCCTATATTGTAAAGTTGCAGCTTCTGAAGAATGACTTGAAATACTGTAGGATTTTGTTGTCGCAAAAGTAACTTATACTTTCCACTGAGAAATCATAATTCTGTCCATGGTATCAACCTTTGCATTTCTCAGAAATGTGGTGTACTTCACTCTTCCTTTAATTTTAACATGATTTTCTGTTTTAATTAAGAAACATCATTATAAAGTCTATTCTATAAAACAATTGCTGAATTTATTTTTAAATAAGATATTTGAGGATGCTTGTTTTATTCATTGTTTAGCAATTGACACATACAGAATTTATTCATATTCTGTCAAAATACAGGTGAAGTGCTAGATTTAGCACTGAAAAAGCATTTTTCTAAAACAGAATAAGTATAATGAAATTCATGGTGTAATAATGATGGTATGTTTTATTACTGATCTTCAATGTACTTTACTTTGAGCATGTATTAGTTGCCAAAACTATACACGTTTCAAATATAAAACAGTAAAGTTGTAAGTAGATGGTATTATTAAATAATGAGACCGATGAGAAAAATTGGGTATTTGTAACTAAAATTAAAAAAACAGATGTATTTTGTTGCATAAAACTTTAATATTGTTATTTCCAGATTTTAGAGTTGGGGCTTAATTGTCACTGTATCTGTGGGAGTTTGCCTGATGGACTTGTTTTGTTAGTGGTTGCTTTCAAAATATCATTGAACTTGTCTAAATTTGACTAGTGTTTGGATGGAAGGTGGTTTAGTTTGAGGTTGGTTTTAAATGAAAGTGGATATAAGTGCAATAAATAACATTAAGGCAAACAAAGCCACAATTTTAACTGAATTACAATTATAACCTGTTCTTGCAGGTGAATCTGATTTAGGAATATTGCCTTAGGAAAGCATAATTATTAAATTGCATATGATATAAATAAATTTCCATGCTGCAACTTTTTTTTTAAAAAAGCTTTGTATTATTAGAACACTTAAAATCTCTCAGTACCTGCTAGATCTCAACATTGTGATAAAAGGCTTTATTATTGCTGTTATGTATTTTTTAATTGATTCAGTATGTGTGTATTCTCTCTGTTCAGACTGTGACAAAGGAGAGACAGATGAAATTATTACAACAACAGAATGATATCAGTGGTTTATCAAGGCAGGTGAAGCATGTGATGAACTTCACTAATTGGGCCATTACAAGTGGCAGCAGCACTGCATTGCTCTATAGCAAGCGACTGGTAAGAAAAATCAGATTTTATTGTTGCAGTTTGGCTATAAATTCTATTCTTGCAATAAAACCATATTTATTATGAAAATCTGTATTATTCTTATTCTGTAGTCTTGAAGGTAAGTACCTCTAATGAAATTTTGTTTTTTCAACATAATACTTTGTATTTCAATTGTTGATATATTTGGTTCATCAAAGCCAAACTGTAAAATCATAATCCAGGATGTTAGAGGTTTTAAATGCTGAATTGGGATGATACTCTTTTTCTAGCAATTGTGTTTTCTCATCTGTAACCTATTCCCAAAGCAATTCAAGTATTAATATCACTAGGCTCAAGGTTGACTCAGCCTCCCGTCCTTCTGAGGTCGGTAAAATGAGGACCCAGATTGTTGGGGGCAATATGCTGACTCTGTAAACCGCTTAGAGAGGGCTGTAAAGCACTGTGAAACGGTATATAAGTCTAAGTGCTATTGCTAATATGCTGGGGGAGCCAAAATGTATATTGGTCAGGTGATATGTTTTATTTTAATGTTTTTGTAGTGGAATTTTTAGTAAAGGTAAAGAAACTGATAAAAACTAATATACATAAAATGTCAGTATTAGTTGTTTTCAGAACAGAAGGAAAAATCTTGTTAGTTCATTATTCTCAGAGTTATACACACTTGCACAACAAATTTTCTTTCTCTCTCTTCATTATCTGAATTAGATTTGAAGGTGCATAGAGAGCTACAGAATGGAGTAGTACCTCCTGATAGATATGTCTGTGAATCTAGAATGGGAAGGGTCCTTGGTGCTTTTAAAACTTTTTGTCTTGCAGTTTCATTATCCAAACTAGGTAACATCATCAGTTCTAGTCATTATCAGCTCTAACCCTGATGATGTTACCTAGTTTGGGTAATGAACGGTTTGCAAGAAAACAACCAAGCTCAGAGAGCACCAAGGACCCATCATGTCAACCTGAACTACAAGTATTCTCCTTTATTAATCTAGAATGTGTTGGTATTTTGATTGAAGATTCTGCTCAATGATATGTGGGCAGCAGGATGATGGTTTACAAGGTATTCTTAGAGATCCTAGTTTGCAAAGAGTATGTTAAAATAATTGGAGTAAAATTTAATCTTGATTAAGCTTGTGGCTCCCTAACCAAAATGAGCCCATGTGACTGGTATTGTTAAGAAATGTTGCATATAGCATAAGTCTGGCAAAGGCACAACCCACTTTGCTCATTCTTTATCCTCCTAAAATGTGTTTTATGAATGCCTTAGCTGACTAAAGCCATATGGGCCATGAGAGGTCGATATATGTTGTAGGCTATATGTAGGCTATACGTTGACTACTATGGTGTATGGAACATGACACCTATGAATATAAAAAGAATATATGATAATGAGCATGAATTAATTATTGAAAAGAAATAAAAATAGATATATGTTACATCTTTGTAAAACTCTAGGGAGCATGTAGTGGGGTTGAATGGCAATTTTAGCTTATGGGATGAAGTTGATGAATACACACATGGAATTGAAGACGTTTTATTCTGAATGATCTGGAGGAAAGTTTTCTGTAAAATGGTTGAATGGAGATAGAATACAGCATATACAAAAAATGCTTAGACTACACAGAAACCCAAAATGGAAATGGTGATTATTTGGTATCTGTTGAGGAAGATAGCTATTAAATTCAATACATGGTTGAAGTTTGAATCTGGTTGTGCATAATGTGTCAAAGAAATAAATCAAAAAGCATTATTTGGTTGGTTAGGATGAAAGGTTATAAAGGATACAAGGTTGCGGAAACCTTCTGAATGTGGGAAGGCTATTTTTATCAGTGTAACGGGAAAAGGGTAAGACAATAGAGTGTAAGGAAGGTCAATCAATCAATCAATCAGTATAGAGCTGGAAGGGACCTTGGAGCTCTTCTAGTCCAACCCCCAGCAGAAAATTCTATATCCTTTCAGATAGGTGGCTGTCCAGTCTTTTCTTAAAAATTTCCAGTGAAGAAGCACCCACAACTTCTGAAGGCAAGCTGTTCCACTGGTTAATTGTCCTCATTGTTAGGAAGTTTCTACTTAATTCAAGGTTGCTTCTCTTGATTAGTTTCCATCCATTGTTTTTTGTCTTGCCTTCTGATGCTTTGGAAAATAAGTTGACCCTCCCTCTTCTTTGTGGCAGCCCCTCAAATACTGGAATACTGCTATGTCACTCCTAATCCTTCTTTTCTCTAGACTAGCCATACCAATTACTGCAAAAGAGGACTAGAGAAAGACTCAGAGGACTAGAATCAGGCTCAGAAATGCATAACTAAATGTTCAAGAAATTAGTATCACAAGTGTCAGGGTTAAACGAAAATTTCCAACTATCACACAAGAAAGTATTATATAAAACACAGGGAAAAAATGCAGAATTAAAAAGTGAAATTACGATAGAGTAACACACCCGAGATATCAAAGTTAAAAGAAAAGCAAGAAAACTATATGAAAGAATTAGAATTAGAATTTTTTCTAATGTCTAATTATTCCAGTTTCTAATATGATTTTCATTACTGAGATCTTAAGTTGTGTTTAAGAGGTATATTTTATAATTGGAAAAAAGCTTACAGAACAGTTCTCTGAATTGTGTAGCAAGTGTGAGAAAATTCATCTATGTATGACACCTGAAAGGATGCTGTTACTCCCTTACAGAAAGGGAGTGGTAGCAACAGTGAATGCAAACAGTGTTTAAAGATCAGAGGTCTTAACCCATTCCTGACCACTGGCCTCTCGTTCACTTAGAATATCTGTGTGCAGGAGTGCGCATTCATCCACTTTATCCATGCAAAGTAAAAGTTGGGTATGTCAGATGAAATATATAAGTGAGTTGAATGCAGTGGGTATGAATTACTTAAGATCCATATGTGCGGTAAAACAAGAAGAAAAAGGAATGTATGATTGAAGAATAAACATTGACTACAAAAATGAGCAGAATGGTTTCTTTCTTGTACAAGAGAAGGAGGATTGACTCTCAGAACAAATATAAGAACAAAAATGAATTGATTGGGAGGGAAGGAAAAATGGAGAAACAGGTAGTTGTCTAGAATTGATGAGAGCCTCAAAAAAAGAAAGGTAAAAAGTATAAAGAAAAAAATATAAAAACAATATATGGAAGCAAACTGATTTACAAGGACAGACGAACAGCAAATAGTGTTGGTATAATCTAGATTTAATTAGATTCAGTTTTTTAAAAATTATCTTTTGCCTTTAATTTCTTTTTCTAATCACTGCTTATTTTTTTTCTACGCTTCATATAATGTTGCTTATCCAAGAAGGGAATAATAGCGTTGGTGATGAATGGAACTAACTTGTTGCAATGTAAGGGAGGCTTTTATAAAAGTACTGCCCTTTTTAAAAATAATATATCTCACAGTTATTAATTAAAAATAAGAGTAAAGTGTAGCATGTAATGAGCATACTTTTTGTTGCTAACCCATTGGGAGGGAGGATTTTTCTTGGGATAATCTTCTATTCAAAATTACCTGGTTTCTTTTGATACAAAGTAGTTTAATTTTATTGATTATCTATTTTTGAACATGGGTTCAATTCAAGTTTTACAAAATATTAAGAAAATTATTAAATTTATTTAAAAAGCATATGGAATTTATTGTTTGAAATTAAATCTTATCTGTATTCTTTAACATAATTGATATTAATTTTCTTGTGATGAATCAAATCCTTTCATCAAAATATATAAAGTGGAAATTTTAGCTTATCTTACAATATGGATAAGAAAACTTAATTTTTTCAATGTCACTTGTTTGCAAATAGCTTACTTTTAATTTCTTTTTTTATGCTTTGCATAACAGTAATTGAGATTATTTGCTTTGCAGATCACTTTCCAGCTGCGACATATTTTAAAAGCACGGTGTGATCCTGTTCCAGCTGCTAATGGAGCAATTCGCTTCCATTGTGATCCTACATTTTGGGCAAAGAACGTAGTCAATTTAGGTAGAGCTTTTCATATTTCTGACAGATTTAATGTGTAAAACTTTGTAAATGTAAATGGCATGTTCTCTGAAGTGTTCCTTATAGGTGTAAGAGACTTCCAGTAAAAAAAAAAAAAAAGGTTTGTTACTGGAGCTGTTCATATGGGTACCAATATGCCTTCTTTAAGATTAAAGCTATCCTTCAGGAGAATGTTCAGAAGTTCTGTGCACCATGACAGTTAATATACACATGATGAAGTGTAACTTACTTATGTAGGTCTGGATTTAAACCAGTGAGACAAATACAATCACAAGCCAGATATGTTTCTTTTTCTACCCTGTTTGCTTGCCTTTTTTCATACATTTCTTGTCACAGGAATACTTTCCATTAGAATAAATCTTCGTTCATATGGTAATTGACCCATCTTAAAAATAGATAGCAATGTTTTTCACAGAAAAGCAGTGTGAAGTGAGATATATAGTAGTAGCAAGGGGCATGTCAATTGTGGAGGAAGAGAGTGTTATTTGAAAAAAAAATGAAAAAAAATTACGGAGGTATGGTGTATTACATAATTATATGGTCACTACCTTCTTTTAAGAATATTAAAAAGACAAGTGTTTAATTATAGGAAAGTAATTTGGATTCAGTCCAACTTAATTTCTAGCATATCAATTATTGTTGGGAAACTCAGACGTGTTAACTATGTACATTTGATACAAATGTATCAAAATCTTCATATTCTAAAAAATAATTAAAAATCAGATTCAAAATAACTCCAAACTATTTTACTTGGCACAGGCAGAAACTTTGTCTTCCTTTATGTCTCCCCTCCCACCAAACAAGATATAAAATGCAAGGTTTACAGGAGCAGATGCTCTCTCTTTCAAAAAGAATTTTCTTTATTGTTCCTTTCTTTGCAACCCTTGTATTTGCAATATAAACTCTGAAGTAATGGGGTGGAGACTCTTAAAGGTAAAATTATTTCAACAAATTGGTGGTTAAGCCGAAAGTATGAGGCTGTTGGCTTAGAGACATTGTAGTTTCCAGTGAAACTACAATGAAAAGGAAAGTCCAGGGCCTTCTATTATAGCCCTTGCATTTTTCTATATGTAAAACAAAAACACGTTGGTCCATGTATGTCATTTATATCTTCTCAACATATATCAGATAATGTATTTCTATTTTTTATAGTGAAATAGATCCCATTGAAAATACATTTAGATTTAATAAGCAAGAACTAGCAGTCAACATCTAAATTACAAACAGCCTTGTGGGTGTGTACAAAGGCTTACATGTCCATACCAGGTTTTTCCCATGTTCTTCTCCACCAGCAGCACCTCTTACTCTGTTGGAGGCCACTTTTGAGGTTCCCAAACTTCAGGGTAGTGTGAGAGGATGCTTCTGGAAAGGGGGAGAAACCCAAACTCCCTGTTACATGTGCAGAGCTCATCATATGGTCCTTTGGAATGGGAATGTACATTGGGAACTGAAAAGGTATTGGAAATGAAATACTATAAAACTGTTTGAAAAGATCCTAGAGGGTGCAGAAATGTTTAAACTGTATTTTATTTTATTGACATAAATATTTAAGTACAATTTTTAATAAATACATGTGACAATAATACAATGCCTGGGTTATTTTAAAACTGAGATGATATTGGATGCCAATGTCAGATTCTTAAACAACAATAATTTTTTTTGAGAAGGAACAGAATTGTCCATTCTGTTAATTGGTAGTACAGACCAAGAATAGAGTATTTTTTAAAAAAGAATTATGGCCACTGTTCTAGAGAAAAAAATATTTCTTATTTTATACAATAACAATCTAGTACTTAATAGGGCTGTGCAATGCATCAGATTTAGCTTTCACTATAAGGGAGAGCCATGCAATCCTGGGAAAGATGCAGCTGCTGTAAAGAGATGCAAGGAAGTATATATTTGTAATCAAATTGAAATACTGAGCCATAATATTAAAATGTATCAGAATAGCAAGAATAAGAAAAAATGGTTCATCAAAGGATATTCAAAATAGGGGTTTTTAAAATATTGAATAATCCTGAGAATAACTCAGAGACCATACATTATGGCAGCGACTACAAGCGTTAATGAGATTTTGCTGTCGTAATTAAAATTATACCCATTTTTTTCATTTTAATTTTTTCAGTAATAAACATCTTTAAGAATTTAAGGGAAAAAAAATGTAATATATATATTATACAAGAGTTAAAACATTTTCTGCAGCTGTGCATCAAAGTTTAGGGAAAATCACATATATATTGAAACTAGGTGCTAATTTGTTGAAAATGTTCCATTAACCTTAGTTTGATCAAAATAAATAATGCAGATACATTAAAATCCACGTCTTATATATTCATTAATTAAAAATATGACTTTGAATCTTTTAACATAAAAAATACAGAGTCCTTTTTGCTCTCTGAGCTTGGTTGTTCGCTTGTAGACATTTCATTACTCAACTAGATAACATTGATAATGTTACTTATTTGGGTAATGAAATACCTGAAAGCAAATAGCCAGGTTCAGAAAGCATCAGGGACTCCATAGTTCAACCCCAAGCTACATGTATTATTTTCTATTGAAAAAAAATACACTAGTTGTGTATTTTTTTAAAGCTTCAACCCTTAATGTGAAGCTAATGTATACTAATCACAAGCATTTCACTATTAAACTTTATTTAACGTACAAGCTTTGTAGTTAATCATACTTTCTCCTATTGTCTAGGTAATCTTGTTATTGAAAATAAGCCAACACAAGGTTACACTCCTAATGTAGTAGTGGGACAAGTTCCTCCAGGAACAAATCATATCAGCAAACCTCCAGGGCAAATTAATCTTGCACAGCTTCGGCTCCAGCACATGCAACAGCAGGTGTTTGCGCAACAAAAACACCAGCAGTTACAGCAGATGAGGATGGGGCAGCCTGCAGGGCAAATCACACGCCAGGCAGGTCCACAGATGCTTCAGCAACAGGCAAGTCTTCAGACTCTTTAAATTAAGATACTCATATAAACTCAAAAGATCATTTTCAGGCATAGAATTTACATACATTTAAAGTTTATATAGGGCTACATTTTGTTAATTCTAATATCACTGCAATGCAGTTTGTTCCCTTATGCAGAAGAGTAAAAACATGAGAAAAGAGGCTAGTGTTTTTCCTCATTCACAGAGCCAGGGTTTTATGAAATTCATTATATTTTGTAGCCTCCACGGTTGATAAGTATGCAGACCATGCAGAGGAGTATGAATTGTGGTGCTTTCCAAGCTCATCAGATGAGAATGGCTCAGAATGCAGCTCGTCTCCCAGGGATACCACGCCACAACGGGCCCCAGTATTCTATGATGCAGCCACACTTACAGAGACAAGTATATGCTGTGTGCACATTTTGTTTCCCACCTTTCATTTTAGAAAAGTGAATCAGCTTGTTTTTTTAAATATCAGTGTAATTTAGCTACAAAAATGCTTTTCAAAATTAAAAGGATCATTTCTATTTAAGGAAATCAATTCAAATTTTGTTATAAGAAATCTGAAATTAGACCCAAACATAGTTTTCAAACATAAGGCATGCAATATTCATGGTTATCAGTTTGCCATAATTTTTTATTGCTTTGATTGTTTGCTCTTACAGATTTATTGATCTGTAAGAGCTTGTTCTCTGATAAAGGAAAATTTGTGTCTAAAAAACGTCAGCATTAAGTTACGAATGAGAAAATGTTGTTATTATTTTGACTTATTAAATGTAAGAGGTGAAAAATAAATATTGCCCTTCTGTGTAACTAACTTAATGATAATTTCTTTTTTTTTTCCTCTCCCCCTCTTTTAGCATTCAAATCCAGGACATGCAGGTCCCTTCCCAGTTGTTTCAGTACATAACAATACTATCAATCCAACAAGCCCTACAACAGCCACCATGGCAAATGCTAATCGTGGTCCAACAAGCCCATCTGTAGCAGCAATAGAGCTTATTCCATCTGTAACCAACCCAGAAAATCTACCTTCCTTGCCAGATATTCCTCCCATACAGGTAAGCATATTATATCCAAAAAAAAAATGAAAGTTAATTGTTACTGAAATTAACATTGTACAGCTTACACTGGAGTAAAATGATTTACAATTTGTATAAAAAAGATAAAATCCAATCTGTAGGATATATTTATTAGAATGTCTTTTTTTGGACTGGAGACTGTAAGAATGACAAGATTTGTGTTTAAGTCTTCACTCAATCTTGAAATTTATTGCACACATTAAACAGTCCAAGGTTAATATATCTTGTGATCAAAGATGTCTACAGAAGAGTGTGTGTGTGTGTGTGTGTGTGTGTGTGTGTGTGTGTGTGTGTGTGTATGCGTATGTGTGTACCAAAATGCAAATGTTGCCGAGGGTCACCTTGTAGGAAAATGGGTGGTATAAAAATTTAATAAATAAATAAAATAAGCTATGTATTCTCTATATTTTGGCTTTAGGACCTCTTTGGTATCAATGATTTTAAAATATACCCACTGATTTTGCCACTGATTTACATTTCCATCAAAACGGGGGATGAATTCCTCCCCCAGACTCCTTTAAATGCCTTAAAAATATCTCCAGAATGTGAATCACATCTGCTTGCACAGCATTGGGTTCCACTCTTAGTTGCTCCATTAATTTTGGATTGAAACTTAACTACTATGCTGTTTCCTGAATATTTTAAAAGAGAGACTTGATTGGAAATTACATATTTGCAAATTATTTCTATTTGTCAATTGTGTAATTTGTTCTGGGATGTGGGAAAACATTTCAATTTCTTTTTAACGGTTTGGAAATATATGGTTCCTTTGTGTGCTATAACATTTATCTGGTCTTCCAGTGGAATTTATCAATTAGAGGTACAGATTGACCTAATGTCTCTGTAAAATTTACAACCTACTAATGTGTGTGAGATGATTTCAATTTTCTTGACCCTGCATGGACAAATACACTCAGCTATAGAAATTTTATTATATCTGCCTTAAAGTGCAGATGGAAGAATGTTAAATCTAGCTTTAAAGAATGTGATTCTCAGCTTAGGGAAAATTAAATTTAACAAATAAATTGCTAGTTGCCATGTGCCCTTGGTAATTCAAATTCTGGCACGTTGTGGAAACCTGTTAACTTAAATCTGGAACCTGACATCCCTTATTTTTTTTCCCTATTTCCCCCAAAATAAGACATCCCCTGATAATAAGCCCAATCGGGCTTTTGAGTGAATGGCAATAAGGCCAAGCACTTATTTCAGGGTTCAAAAAAAATATAAGACAGAGTCTTATTTTCGGGGAAACACGGTAATAATTTATTGTTGTAACCTAATGATTTTAAGAATAGTGTAAAGAGGCTATATGAAGTCACCCTATGTTCTGCTCCCTGTTTCCAGGACATTGTCCTATCATATAGTTGGTTTTAGGTTTTTTTTTTTAATATCCTTCAGAAAAAATACAGATAGTTTCAAGAGGTCATTTCTAGCATACTGCATTTAGACTTAGCAAATTCACTGTATGAGTGTTTTTTATTTCAGCTAGAAGATGCTGGTTCCAGTAACTTAGATAATTTACTAAGTAGATATATCGCAGGTAGCCATCTACCCCCTCAACCCATAAGCAGTATGAATCCCTCTCCTGGACCCTCAGCACTATCTCCAGGCTCATCAGGTAAGCTGAGAAAGACATGATAGACATTTTAATTTCTGTATATAAAACAACCAATACTTATTTTGAAATTTTACCCATCTTTTTCTAGTAACTTGCACAGTAAAGAGGCTGAATGTTTTTTGCTTCAATGTATGGACTTTGTATTATGACTGTTTAGTTAAATTTAATCAAAGTAGGTTTTTTCCATGAGTAGGCAATTTCCCCCCTCATATAATAGCATATATATGAAAAGAATAAAATAATTTTGTAACTTCGTTCTCAATAAAATGAAGCTGAATTAGATTTAGAAGGCTATAGGATTTGAATGCTGGTAAACTTAATAATAGCTGGGATTAAAAAAAGTAACACTGTTTTTTAAAGTATGAACTGTTGATACTGTGCATTGCCAGAAATGTTCCCTGTGATATGCTGTTATTATAAACTCATCTTTCCTTCCTTAGGTTTATCCAATTCTCATACTCCTGTGAGGCCACCCAGTACATCTAGCACAGGCAGTAGAGGCAGGTGAGTTAATTGGCTTCAAAAACAGGGTCTTCTCAATTCTAAATGAGTGTTGAAGTTTCCAGAGAATTGAGTACGTAACTAGGAACATAAATTCCAGTTTATGACAAAGATTGGGACGGTACAATTTATCTGTGAATTAAAAGACACGGAAGACAAAACCATACATTATTTTTAATTTCTGCATCGTATAAGAAGTAACATCATTCTCTAATGTTTTTATTGTGCTCGTTTGCAAATTGAATATATACTTACAATGGAAGAGAGAACCCTGAAAATAGGGTTGTTGCCTTTGCTCTAGCAGGCAGAGCTAAAATAAAAAGGATTGCCACAGTTCTTTGAATGAGAAGAGGTCTCTTCCCTTCCATTTACGTTTCCACTTAACTTCATGTGCCAGATATTTGTCTTCCCCTTGCATACATGTATAAATTCCTCGCTCTCCCAGCAGAAACACAAAAAGGAATTGGGTAAAGAGATGGAGATGAGCTAAGAGGAATTGTATAGAAAGGAAACGAGAAATGGAAGAAGCGAAAAAAGTGGATGGAGTTGAGGTGAAGGGAACAGGTAACTGAATAGAGACAGGAAGGAAAGGAAAGAAAATGTATGCTCTATTTAGATGTTACAGGAATAATTAAATAGGATCTCTTTACTTAGATTAAATAGTTGGGGTAGAAATGTGATGAATAAAATAAATAAATAAATTTCCCAAACGATAGCTGTTCTAGAAAGGCATCCATACTTTGCAGCAACCTGGTCTGCATCTGGTTTTTTTAACCTCTGTACATATCTTTATTTTCAACTGCTTCTATTCTTAACATGGAACATATAACTGCTTCTAAAGCAGTCTGGTATATTTCAGTGAGATCCATACAATAATGGTTGTAAATTGTTTCAAGTTTTTTCCCTTGCTTTGGAAAATAGAAACACACTTGCCAACTGGACTGTTATCATTTTTATTTGCTATAGCAATAAACATTGGCCTATTCCAGTGAGTACATCAGCATAATGGACAGCGAAAGGTGTTTTTTTCCTAATATTCAGTCAATATCCAGTTGTATTGGCATATCTTTTAGGCTTTAGATTCAGAGATTGACTTTAAGTGTTCATAATTCTCTGACTCATATTGAAACACTCTGGATGAAGGAAATATCTACACACACACACACACACACACACACACACACACACACCATTATAAGAGGAATATAATTGTGATAAATGGATATTGTCATTTCTGTGATAATTTATGTAGCTTAAAAGATTCCGAAAACATTTGTGTTGCAGACTTTTATATACACCTGTATCTTCTTTATACTATTGTTTTGCTTTATACTATCAACCTATAACCCTGGAGACCCCATCATCCGGTCCGTGGACTGGCCAGTAACTGGCCGTGCAAATAAGGAAATCCTATCCTCAGGATGCAGGCAGCATGCGAAACCACGGCCCTTCTGGACCATGGAAAATCCTTTCTCCACGGAACCGGTCCCTGGTGCCCCAAAGGTTGGGGACCACTACTATAACCCACTGTTGGAGTTCCTTTAGTTTTGTGTACTATATTTGCATTTTGACATCTTGGTTTTATGGTGTCACTATCCCATCACTGTTAATAGGTGTCAGTTTATTCATGAAGAAGAAGACTATTGCTTCTGAAGACTAGAAGACTATTACTTCTGTGGCGATTGTTTCTTCATTTTTGCCTCTGATTTACCAAGAATTAAAAGATCAAGATAAAATAAGAGATATATATTTTCTAAATTGGAAACTAGCACAATACTGTATGTGAAATTATATTGTATTTTTACTGTGGAAAAAATTAGGGTCCCCAATGGTTTTTTGCTGCTTATATAATTTTGGAAGAATTGTAATTAATTACATAAACAAATGCCTTCATAAAGAAGACCTAAACAACTTTTTCAAATAAACCTGACTTTAAAACACAAACCAAACCAATGAAAAGAATGATTCAGTGATATAATTTACTTTTGAAAATTTCTATTGCTAAAACAAACATTTAAAGTTATTTGCAGAAAAAAAAATTGAAAATAAACTTTACTATTCCAGGCAGAATGCTTAAAGTGCGGAGTTTTTTTTTTCTCAACAGTTGTTTTAGATATCATTTTTAGGATTCTACAGGCCTGGTTTCATATTAAGTAGACGCCATGCTTTCATAAATTAAAAAAATAAAAATATATACAAGTATATTAAAAATGAAGAATTTAATAAATAAAAATATTAATCACAGAGTTACTTCTGTTGATTTTATTATTGGATAATTATGTTCCTTACACACTTTTTGGAAGAAGGATTTTATTAGGTATGGGGATGTATATTTCTCAGAATTTTTAGCAGAGGGGTTTTTAATTTGTATAACTTGTGTACTTTTCAGTTGTGGCTCATCAGGAAGAACCGTTGAGAAGAACAATATTAGCTTTAAATCTGACCATGTAAAAGTTAAGCAGGAACCTGGCACAGAGGAAGAGGTGTGCGGTTTTTCAGGACCTGTGAAGCAAGAAAAAACAGAAGATGGAAGGAGAAGTGCCTGCATGGTAAAATTCTATTTCTGTGTTATACCATTTTGACATAGGATTTCCTAAGCAGTGGGAAGAATTGAAGACATTTGTTACTTTCTACAGAGTAGCTGCTATTTCCACAGAGATTATTATAGTGCTAGAAATATTTAACAATTCTATTTTAGTACTATGTTTTCTTTTCCTGTCCTTGATTAGAAAACTAGATAACCAAGTTGCTTTGGTTCATAAATCAAACTAAGACAAAGGGCAAACTAAGGTGCTTGGCTCAATATTAGCCAATTGTTGTTAATTTAATAATTTATAATAATTTAATAAACCATAATAAACGTTGGCAGCATGATGTGTACCCTAGAATATTGAACTGGATCCATATTTATTCAACCAAGCTCAGAGAGCACTAAGGACCCCTCATATCAAACCTGAGTTACAAATATTCTCCTTTATTGGTATTCATGTTTAGAATAGCTTACTAAAATAAATGGGGAAGAAAGGGGACACCCAAGGGAAAGTTTCTTTTAATTTGTGCCTTTATTTTAGCTTAGCAGTCCTGAAAGCAGTTTGACGCCACCACTTTCTACAAGCTTACATCTGGAAAGTGAGTTAGAAGCACTGGGAAGTATAGACAACCATGTAAAAACTGAACCAACAGAATTGAATGAAAGCTGTAAACAGTCTGGACATGGTCTTGTAAATGGCAAATCTCCAGTACGTAGCCTCATGCACCGGTCTCCCAGGGCTGGAGGAGGAGAAGGCAACAATAAAGATGATGACCCGAATGAAGACTGGTGTGCAGTGTGCCAAAATGGGGGAGACCTATTATGTTGTGAAAAGTGTCCTAAAGTTTTCCATCTGACATGTCATGTACCTACTCTTCTCAGCTTTCCAAGGTATGAAAATACTATTATGTTACATCCCGCAAGAGCTTGGTGTGATTATTCGTAGTAAGATATAATACTGAATGTTAAAAATACAATATTGAGGTGGAAATGGTCCCTCTGCAGATTATTACTATATTGGAATGAGGTGTTCTTGGAGATTAGGATTTTCAATTATTGGTATTGGTAGGTCTTTTAAATATTATCTTAAAGTGGCCTAAAATGTGTAATAAATACTAAATTCAGAAATACAGTCACGTATACTATAGCAGTTACTTATTTAACATGAGTTTTTGCTATTGGCCAATGGCCATAATCAGGGTGGATTTGATTTAAATCGAGTTGATTTAAATCATGATTTAAATCACTAGTAAAAAGGCTTGATTTAAATCAACTCGATTTAAATCATAATTTTTAAAGAGCAACTGTCATCTCTGCTACTCCTTTGACCCACTGTTGATTCACTGATAGTCCCAGTGTTGCAGAATATATAGCCTCATGCTACATAACTAAGCTCCATTTCATGCTGAATAAACTAAATTATTTATGTATCTTAAATAGAAAACTATCTTACGATAGATTTTTACCCCAAAAGTTTTTTATTAAAATAAATTCAATTTAAATCAAAAAAATCCGATTTAAATAAAAAAATCCAATTTTAATAAAAAAAATCATTGATTTTTATCCACCCTGGCCATGATCTGTATGAAACAATTATGCTTTGTTTCATACTAAACAGTGCACAAGAAAAAGTATTCCATCACCTCTTATATGCTTTGAGGAGAGTTGGTCCTCATAATTACACATATGCAAGGCATGGTTAAAAAAAAAAGTAGGTTGCGGTATGTTAGGCAACATCTTATGGCATTACAGTAACTAAAAATCTTTTGACAAGTCAATTTGTGTTTGTTATTCTAGTGAAAATTATTAGACATAATTTGCATTTTATTTCTATAATTTTTCTACAAAATCTTCAATTTTTTGTGAGGCTATTACTGTTTATAATACAGGTAATCCTTGCTTAGCAAATACAACTGGAACCATTAATTCCATAGCTAAGCAAAACATCGTATGACTCTCGGATACACAACATCACTTTCCACATTGAGTTACCGTGGGTCATTAAACGAGACATTACAGGACATATACTTAAAATTGTAATGTCAATTTTTGTTTGTTGGAAACCAGTTATGAAATGCTTAAATGACAATTATGACTATAGGATGCTGTGACAGTTGTAAACACACACCGGTTGTGATGTGCCTGAATGTTGATCATATGATTGCAGGGATGCTGCAATGGTTGTAATGTAAGAATCAGTTGTAAAGTTACTTTTCCAGATGTTCGAACAGCACTTTTTCTGCAATAGTGCAGGGTCCACTATTTTCAGGTCAACCAAATGTTGGTTATGACGGGAATGGACTGACCAGCATGCATGCATGCACACATATACACGCACACATGTGCACACACTCACATTCACATATATATGCATGATTTGATTAATTGGACATTTGGATTTATATATTTAGAAGATTTATAATATGTTATATAGATTTCTGGATTATTTTTTCTTTTCTAGTGGAGAATGGATATGTACATTTTGTCGAGATCTTCTGAAACCTGAGGTAGAATATGATTGTGATAATCTGCAGCACACCAAGAAGGGAAAAACAGCACAAGGATTGAGTCCTGTGGACCAAAGGGTAGGTATCCCATACTTTAGGTATCTTGTTCTCAAATCAATTCAACCCAATTATTGTGGCTTTTTTGTATTATATGTTCCTTTATTTAGATTATATTTTATTTTACATAGTCAGCAACTGTCATCATACTACATAAATCAAATCAAGAAAGCAACTCTGTACGAGTTTATTAATATTGGCTATACTAACAGAATCTTAAGTTTTTCTGTGCTTGCTTCTCTCTGTCTTTCTGTGTTTCTCTCTGTCTCTCTCTCTCTCTCCATCTCTCTCCTTCTCTCTCTCTTCCCCTCTCCCTTTTTCTTCCTTTCTCTTCCCTTCCCCTCCCCTCAAATTCTTATGTAAATTAGGGAGGTTTCTGTCTAAGTCTTTTCATATACTTTCTTCTTGTTTTAGACTTTAGTGGATATAGAAAGTCTACACACCCTTGTTAAAATGCCAGGCTTTTGAATGTAAAAAAAAAAAAAACCCAGACCAAGATAAAACACTTCAGAATTCTTTCCATCTTTAACATAAGATTCAAGCTGTGAATTAAATTGAAAAACAAACTGAAACCTTGTAGGATGAAAAAAAAACAATAAAAACTTACAATAATGTGATTGTATAAAGATGCATACCCTTAAACTAATGCTTTGTTGAAGCGCCTTTTGATTTAATGACAGTATTCAGACTTTTGGGGTAAGAGCTCAAAAGTAATCACGATGGCATATCTTGCTTTGGGAATCTTGCAAGTCACTCTTCCTTGCAAAAGTGCTCCAAATCTGTTAAATTGCAAGGGCTCTCCTGTGCACAGTCTTCAGGTCACCCCAAAGATTTTGATCCTCTTTTGGTGAAGCCATTTTTTTGCTGATTTGGCAGTGTCATTGTCATGCTGAAAAGTGAAATTCCTCTTCATCTTCAGCATTTTATCAGAGACCTGAAAGTTTTGTGCCAAAATTGATTGATATTTGAAATGGCTCATAATTCCCTTCCCCTTGACTAAAACCCCAGTTCCAGCTGAAGAAAAGCAGCCCCAAAACATAATGTTGCCGGCACCATGCTCCACTGTGGGTATAGTGTACTTCTTGGGGATACATAGTGTTGTTTTTATGCCAAACATACTTTTTAGATTTCTGGTCAAAAAAGTTTAACCTTGAAGTGATTTATCTTGGTCTGATTTATTTTCTCCATTTCAAAAAACTGGCATATTAATAGGAATATTTCTACATACACTGTAAGACATGTTGCATTTCATGCACACCCAGCTTTGAAACATAATACTCTTTTTTTCTCAACCAGGTTTCCCTGTTTTCCTCACTCCATTACCCACAGTGATAATGGAACATGTATTTGATATGGGAGCTCACTACAACAAGCCAATTATCCTAAAGTTTCCATTCATATCACTTTTTTAAAAAATAGCTGGCTGTTTGCATTTGAAACTGTTTTATTAAACCGTACTATTTAGTTTGCATTCAGCAATTCAACCAATTTTGTACATAAACAGGGATGAGTGTGATGATATTCCTTGTTTTTCCATGGAACTTCAGTTGTTTCTCACTTGTCTACAGCATCTGTACTGTAGAATTCAGATATCCACTAAATGGAAACAGAAAGCTGGAATTTTCTGTATCTTTTGACTTCCATCTAGTGTTAATTTGGATTATTTATTTATGTAATTAATTTGATTTAGATGTCCTCTGACTCCAAATTGTGTGGCTTACAATATAACAGAGTGGATCTACTGGAACATAGCTTTGCAAGTCTTCAATCAGTGGAGAGCCAATAATGTCACCACTGTGACCAATGTGTAGTGCTATCAAGAGATCCCTTTGTTTACAAGAAGAATGAATCACAATTTTAACACAATCTAAATCAGTGAATTTTCATTTTTCTGTGATATGTATAGTAGTATAGAATTTCTGCTTTTTTACATTTAAAGAACTGTTATTACAGAAGAAATATATTTTTTTCTTCCTAGAGGTTTGAGCCCATTTATTAATCTCATTTATGCAGAATATCTTCTGAATCTTTTGTCTTTGGCATTTAGTTACTCTTACTCATTGAATTTTCTCCTTTAGTTATTCTCATGGAAAAGTTTACCTATGTTTATAGTCTTTTTTTCAAATCTTTCTGACTGTTCTGCCCATTGAATTGTCCTCTATCATAAGTGAGCTAAATGTTCTAGTGCTTTTACTTTTCTGTTACAGTATGATAAGCATATAATATGATATAACAACGTTTGCTTAGAAGGAATTCCACAGACTGCAATAAGCATATGATATGATTTGCTTAGAAGTAATGGCATAAAGCATGATCAAGCAAGTTATCGGACACGTCTTTTCAATCAGTTATCATTTTTCACCCCCACCCGCATAAACCTGAACCTATTGCATCATCATCACCATCATCATTATTATATTTTGGGCTGATAACTGGCATGGACTATATGAGATTCTGAGCTGTGTTTAGAGGGCTTTAACTATGATAATGGCCATGGCCAATTGTAGAAAATAAATGATTTCATTGCTTCAATATCTTAATCAAAACTGCTGTTTGTAAACGTAATTCAAGGCTGGTTATAAACTAGCAAGCCATGTGTGATGTAGGATGAATTGTCTCCCGGGAACCATAAAACTACAGGTATCTCTGGTAATTGGAAGATAATGTTCCCAATATAAAGTTTTGGGGAGACATTTGACTTTGAAGTATATTTGGCAGAAATTTGAGGTACTGCCTTTTGAATGACTATACTGAGGCTTTGGGATTCTTTGCCAAGGAAAGCTGCTTTGCCTTATCTGCCTTCCACTGGGAGCAAAGACTATTTTCTTAGATTATGCTCATAAGGTATCTTATAACTATGTTTCATTTGGATTTTTCCTGTCATTTTGGTTGATATTTTAGTTGATATTATATTTGTTTTATTACTATTGAAGAGCAGTTAATGGAAAAATAGGTTATTATTGATGCATGGAATACGTTGTGCTCAGTATTGTGATAGTATGCACAATATTTTTTAAAACATGAATTAGGCTTGTCAGTGACCCTTGAAATGATGCCTTGACATTTAGAAGTAACACATAACATTTAGAAACATGCTAGATCATAAATCGCTTTTAAAATACTTTACAATCTTGAAAGTTACCTCCTTTTGACTTTGTTCAGGTCCAAAGCTGTGAAGGCAAAAGGAATTAGTTGCATGGATATTAAAATATATATAACTAATCTCTGTTGATTCCAGGTAATCTAGATACTGGTAGTTTTTTTGCAGACTGAATTAGGCTTTGAGAATCTTATTCTTCTGAAAATTGTAGGATAAGCACATAACTGATTAACAAAAATTCAGTCTTTTAAGAATAAAACAATTTTAATTGAATTTGTTTTTCCTCCACAAGAAATGTGAGCGCCTCCTACTTTATCTATATTGCCATGAGCTGAGTATTGAATTTCAAGAGCCAGTTCCAGCCTCGGTGAGTGACATCATATACATTACCTGAAGATGATAAAATGTAAATTTTTACTTTTAGGAGGATGAAATTGGTGATCAACATTTGACAGTCATAGTTGCTATTATGTTATGAACGGTATTTTGCAGTATGTACTTTTAAAAAAGTATCTATTTACAAAATTGTTGGATCCGCAATGTTGAAGGAGCTATGAAGCAGAATTTTCACATTTAAAAATAATATCACAATTTTGCATTTTATTGTGTATGTTTTCAAAATCTTTGGGTCTGGTTTTAAAAATGAAAATGCTTCATATAGAAAAATATTCTACTGTAAAAGTATGTTTTTTACATTTTCTCTCTTCTAATATGACTGCATTTTTTTCTGAACAGATACCAAACTACTATAAAATAATAAAGAAACCAATGGATCTATCCACAGTAAAGAAAAAACTGCAGAAGAAACATTCACAACATTATCAGACGCCTGAAGATTTTGTGGCAGATGTTCGGCTGATCTTCAAGAACTGTGAAAGGTTTAATGAAGTATGTTAACTTCCAACCTGTAGAATTGTTTTGACGGATGAAAAAAAAAAAACCTTCTGTGTCTTTACAGACTTTAATTACAAGTGTTTCCAAATTCTGAGTGTGGGATGGAAATAGTGTCCCATATGTAAGCTGGGCACAGATTGAGCCTCAGACTTAGTCACTTATTATATACAGAGATGATAATGTAAATTGGATCCTGAGGACATACTTGCTCTTCTGATTTCTTTACTGATTTTAATAGTGAACCAATTAAATGCTGGGTTGCATGCACAAACTGTTTCATGCCTCCTTTTTGTGGAGACATTGTCTTTTCAATAGCACATTGTTACCTAGCCCAAGTAGAAAAGCTGCTTGTGTGAATGATTTAGTTGATATGGAAAAGCACTGAAAGCAATAGAAAACAAGATAGGTCATTAATAAATAATTTTACAATTAAATACATGGTGTATTCATAGATTATCTTTAAATCTAGAGCATTTTGTGAATGATAAATAGTTTTGAAAAGTTGCAATCTTAAATCAAGATTACATGAAGATTTTCATGTAATAAAATAAGCAATAAGCAGGATTTAAACAAATGCAAGGAGGCATGGGCTATCAGTCGCTAAAGGACTTATAATAGAACAGGATTTGTGATGGAAATAGCTGTAGAATACCTGGCCTTCTGATGATAACTGAATAGTTGTTTAAAAATGGACGCTGAAGCAGATCGACCCTGTGACTGCTTAAATAGCATCTTTTAAAAGTTTGGAAGCCATTCTGCAAGGCAGTCTGTTAGATTCCTTATTAATTGAAAGTTATCTTGCTAGCTTAAGCAATTTGGATAACAAAGTCTTCTTAAAATAAAACAAATAATTAATGGTAATTTCAAATATGTAGAAAAAATGCTGAAATAATATGGTGTTTTTGAAACATCAAAAATATGGCATGTGAACCTAATGCAGAATACTGTATTTATGGGAAAAGAAATAATCAATAGGCACCTAAGATATTTTTTTGACTCCAGGAAAATTGGCCACATTTAATCATATTTAAATTAGAGTTGTTAACATCTATTGAAAGGACTTGGATCCTTTCTATATTATCTAAAACCATTATTCTATCTCCCATTGATTAGAAGGTTTTATTTAAATATGCTCAGAAACTCTTGAAAAAGAATCCTGAATTTTCTATAGGACAGAATTTGAAAACCTGAGTTTCATTTAAAGTGGGTTATAATCTTTGTCCTGGTTTGATATTAATACCTGCATATAAAATTCTAATACTAAAATCTCAGAAATGTAAACATTTTTAAAGTATTGAGTTACCCTAAGCAGTTAATTTAAACTTGGATTGTAATAGGTGAGGTTTAAGTATTTTTCAAAATAAATAAATTTTAAGAAAAATGAACGCACTCACAGTGAAAGGAAATTTTCATGGACAGATAAATGCAGTTAGAACAGACTAAAAAAGAAACTTGCCCTTTTTTCTTACTGCAGTTATCACATTTATATCATGACAAGAAGAACTGAACTGGAAGGTAGTGGGATAGCACTTTCTTGAGAAGAAATGACAAAGGAATCCTGATGGAAGAAATTATTGCTGACCATTTATAACACAATTATTCTATTTACTGTACAGCTCAATTTTGGATTTCTGTGCTTAGTATCAGTTTGGCGAAACTGATCATTTGTTAATGGATCACATACTCAAATTTAGCATTGGGACCTTATGAAGTGTCACTTCTGTGTCACAGTTTTTAGAAATAAATTGCCATCATGGCTGAGTTTCATCATCCATTCCTGTACAGTCTCATAACTTTAGAAGGGATTATAATTTCCTTTGTTTTGACTCTGGTATCCTTTTTAGATGATGAAAGTTGTTCAAGTTTATGCAGAAACACAAGAGATTAATTTGAAGGTAAGCTTTTCAGACCATGCACACTTGCTGAAGAGATGTTTATTACCAATTGGTGAATGTTACTATCTTTTTTACTTTGCAGGTTGATTCAGAAGTAGCACAGGCAGGGAAAGCAGTTGCATTATACTTTGAAGATAAACTTACAGAGATATACCCAGGCAGGATCTTCCAGCCTTTACCTGAATTCGAGCAAGAAGAAGATGATGCTGAAATAACTGATGATTCAGATGAAGATTTTATACAACCACGTAGAAAACGTCTAAAATCAGATGAAAGGCCGGTGCATATAAAGTAAACTGATTAAATGGACCCGAACTATTGTAAAAAAAAAAAAAACATATTTAAATGTTCCTGGGATATTATCGTGGCTTTAGTAGCCATTTTATTGATAGTGTTCAGACAGTATTAGATTACAAAAACATTTGTACAGAAACATTCTTGTCTAAGGGGGAAAGCTTTCAACTTCTGTTACTGCTCTTGTGTTGTGTGGGGTTTTTTTTTGTGCTGGATTTTTATTTTACTTTTTCACTCCTTCATTATAGAAGTTTGAGATTATTAACATTCATATCAGAAAAGTTTTTATATGATGACATTTGTATGAACAATGCATTTTTGTCAATACCTAATAACTATTTCTGTAGGATTGGACCAAGACAAGTCATATTTCACTTTCATACCGGGTTGTGGTTTAAATTCTAAGCAACGTTTCTCTTCATGTAACCAGAACTGCTGGTTGTGTGATTTTCTTTTTCTTTTTCTTTTATTTTTGAGATTCAACATCTTATCCAAGTGATAATGCAAGTAACATACTTCGTTGAGTCAAATAGCCAGCTCTGCAATCTTTTATTATGTATAGAAGTATCATAACATCATTAAATCATCTTGAATTTGTGAATGCAGGAGTGCGAGTTCTTCATATGTGCTTTATTGACTTTGGTTGCAATTCATGTTTTTAAGTAGGATTCGTGGTATTAAATGGAAGTCCTATGCACAATACACCTCAGCACCATTTTCTTTTTGTATTGTGTTTTTTTCTCTCTCCTTATAAGGCAGGATGTTGGCTACAAAACCAACTAAAATATAGATTTTAGTACTTTCAGAACTAGTCTATGATGTTAATAACTGGTGACTGTCCAGTCTTCCCTACTAACAGTTTCTGATAGACTGCTATCAGCAAACTAATAACTTTGTCAACTACCAAATGTGTAAAATTTCCTGTATTCACTCTGTCTTATTTGTAAATAATGGTACTGTAAATTCTTTCAGGCAGCAACATTTGCTGGACTGTTTTTAAGCTAATATGTATTCTTACTAATGTTCCTAATCAAGAACAGATTTGTAATATGCTCTTTATTTCTTAAGCAGTTCATAATTTGAAGTTCTATATTATTTTGTTAGATCTATTCAGTCTTCTTCAGAAGCAGCTTAAATTGAAGAGAATGATGTGCCCTTTCAGGCTAAGTTACTTGTCTATTCTTAAATCTAGAAAATGGTCCAGCATATCAGACAAGTAACTAGTTGAATAATAATATGCAGTTGTCCATGCATAACAAAGCTCTTCGAAGACAAGAAAAATCTGCATTATTGTAATTCAATGTTGAACAGGTAAAAATCCTTATATGCTTGGCGTAGGTCTGTATTAAACTATTTCAAACCCTTATATAGAATATTTTTATGCCTGTTTCAAAAAGGCAAACTATACCGAGGTAACCAAAACATAAGCTTTACTGTGACATTAAGTGTATTCATTATGGCCAATAGTTCACAGTATATGAAGAATTGATCTATACAGTAGAGTTGAATAGTTTCTATTATACAATGTATTCCCAGTGATTCCCTAAAGAGTTTTGATTCAAATGCCTGATTTTATTTTCCCTGAAAGAGGCAGACAGGACGGTTCTCTAACATGAAAGTAATTAAAGATATTTATGACTTTAATTCACTTTCTTAGATAAAAAATGAAAGGAGTCCAGGGATTTATTTTCACAAAAGGTTTTATTTAACAAATCAATTCTAAACTGTCTGTTTTATGAATATATATTAGTCTATATTGTGACCAAATTAAAGTTAGAGAAGTCAGTTCAGAGAGATTGGAAGAAAGTTTCATGATCATAGCTGTCGTTTCCACATATAAAAGGCAACATTCTAACTGGACCTTGTGATGTTTTCTATATATAGTGTTATTGATTATCCTTTTTTCCAAATGTAGAGATGATATTACTTAGCTTGAGAGATCTTACGTACAGGTAATGAGCATAGTCTAGTTTGAATGTCATTTTTTATTTGCAATTAAAAATATGAGGGTGAATGGGAGGCTGTTCCCTCTTAGTGTGTTCACTCTCCAACAAGTTCCCAGAAAATATCCACTTATGTGCTTATTGCAAGCATCAAATGCAAGAACAAAATGCTAAATAACTGTTGGATGTAGTAGTTCTTACGTATACTAAAGTTCTTCGTATCTCAATTTATAATGAATGAAACTATTTCTTACTTAAATTAAATATATGCAGATTTCTTTCTGCAAAAGAGAACTGGTATTGAGCTAATTTAGTTTCTTTTCCATTCTGAAACTGCAATGGAAAAGTAATAGAGTTTAGTGTATTAAATTGTATGAATATCTTTTTACTTTTTTGCAAAAACATAATTTGAGACATTAAATTGATTATCTGCTACCTGAAACATAGTGGATAATAACATTCTGCATAGACTCTGTATAAATTGCTAGAGTCATTTCTTGAAGAATATATTCATAGATGGAAATGATTTGCAGTCTTGATGAGCTTTTCTCGGTGATGGTAAGAAGTATATCACAAAAGAACTTCTGCCACCTGTACAGCTGAAAAGAAGCCTGTGTTTGGCATATCACAGGCACTTGTGCAATTATTGAGCTACACTGGGTTTGAAAACATAGTTTATTTTGGAGTATGTTCTTCATATATCTACTTTCTAGTGGATAATGGGGCTTTCCTTGCATGTGAAATGGATTTACCTGGGCTTCATAAATTACAATGTAACTTACATCTGATATGGTCCCAAAATATTTTGTCTTATAATTTGACTCTTAAAACTATGACTTCAAATACTCTTACTAAAAAAGAAAGCAAAAAACTCTTTCCCTGGTTGTATAGTTCCAAACATTTAAGTTAATCCAAAGAAGAAAAAGGCAGCTTACTTTGAAACAGGAAGGATAACAAATGTACAGCGTGCTGATTGTGGACTTCTCAATTACCTCAGCAGGTCCCCTGCCTTGTACTTACTAGTGATTAGTGTTAGTTTAACCAGCTAAGTATGTTCAGGTCTTACTTAACTGTGCCCTACAATTAAGTGTCCTATCATATACTATTAAGGCTGATTTACTATCCAAAAAAGGTGGCTTTGCCCCTAGCTTTTAAAGTAGATACTGTATGCTGTAAAATGTAGATAGCCTTTTTCATGAGAAAAATTCCCATTAATAATATTTGAAGTGGCATTGACTGTCGACGTACTCAATACTGGATAGAAGAGCAGAATGTTTTATAAACATTTTTGCAAGCCACTGCATCAAAGTAGTATTTTTTAACAAATCACCCCAATTTGCGATTCTGTTGTATAATGTAGTTTTATTAGACAGTCCCATTTACGTAAAAGTTATGGCAACACTATCTTGAAGTTGAAAATGTAACGTGCTGGATGTAGGCTTTCTCTCTTTCTTTTTCCACTTCTTAGCAAAAAAGCAATAAAACTGCTTTATCTGTTGCCTGTTTAGCATGGCAGGAGTCCATTTCCTTTGGGTAGTGGTTTTATAGGAAAGTTTTTGTATGTGTATCACCCAAGTCTAGCTTTTAACAAATAAAGTGTGCAGTTATAGTGTGGCATTTTATTTTAAAAATTGGGGAAAGTTAACATATTTTTTTAAGAAGTAGGTGTTTCAGTAAATAATGGAAGTACTTTTTTAAAAACTTTATATGCCACAATTTACATAGACCTATTTCAAAGTAATTCATAAGATTGTGATTTTGGATATGGCCACCACTTCTTTGCTTCAGTGATGCATGTGCAGTAACTCCACTCATTTGTTGGTTTTTGTGTCCGCCTATTTGCTAGTCTACTTTTAAAATGCATCCTAATCAAAATTGTTTTGAAAAATTGAAGTTATTTTGATTTCTTAATTTAGTAGCTGATTGACAATGATAACACACAACTTTCTCTTTTCTATTCAGTTCTTTTTCAAGTAGGGAGCTGCTCTTTTCTTTTAAAATAATCTGTGACTTTGTATAAACAAATTCAAAGAATTTTATAGATCTTTACCCGTTTCAGCATTCCCGTAGTGTGAAGATAAATTTTGAAATGGAAAATGATGCATGTTAAAGGCCTGCCAATGTAGGCGTTTGTTAATTCAAAATGCCATTAAACATGTATATATGAGGTCGATAAAGATTTGTGCAATTGAAAGCCTGTTTTAATTTTATATGTAAACATACAAATCAAAGGGTTCAATTCCCAGTATTCTTTCTTTCTGGTAATTAAAACTGGTACTTTTTGCACATAGTTAACTTTACTGATTCTTTTTAAAAAGTGCTGTTTCTGTGGTGTTGTATTCTCTGAATAATATTTAATTTTTTTTAACAAGTTAACGTTTCTAATTGTTCAGTTCCTGTGTTTTTTGGCTGATGTGTAATAAAAGCATTTTTCTTTACATGATTATTTAATACATTTAGCAACCTGTAAATATTTCTTGTTAAGTGCTCTGGAATGTGGTGTAGCAATTGTATTAGAACAGTTTTAAAAAGCATTGTTTTGAAAACCACTTTGTTTTGGTTATTTCTATTAAATTAGAAAAGGAAGAACTTTTCAAATGAGTATTGTTTTGTAAATTCAAGGCCTCCCTAGACCTATTGATACTGTTATTTGATATATTATTAGCATGGGAAAATTATGAAAATTTGGCTAGCATCTACACAGTGTCTTAAGAATAAGGGTTATGATTTAACATTATTAAATACACACACAAGCCTTTTACAATATCTCTATATGATGGATATAATTTATTTAAACATTAGTTTAAACATACATACAGAAATAAATTCTCAATGTACACACTATGATATTTTACTTTGGAAACAGAATGAGATTGAAGAGATAACATCTTAGTTGTTAAGAAAAAAAATATTTTCCATCTTTCTATTCAGGGTGCCCTTTCACTTTGAATATTGTATTCTATAATATTAACTGTCCTGTGTTTTATTCACCAGTTTTGTACCTGAGTGTAAATAGATGAACTGATGTCAAAGGTTATTTGCGGATTTCATTTAATTATGATTGATACAGAGACTATGGATAAGAATGGAAACCTTTATAGAAACTAAGCAATGTTGTTGCATTACTTAATGAAATGTGAAGAGCTTGACTTGCAAATTAGCTTTGTTCCTTGCTATGTTACCTCGTCACATATAGATTTTTGCTTGTGTGTGTTTGGAAGGTTTTTTTTTCCACAAATGAATATATGCTTAGCCACTGTGAAGTGCGAACAATATTGGTTTGCATAGTTAACTCCTATCTGGAATCCATAAATCCAAGATCCAAACTTCACTATCAAACTGACTACAATGCTGAATTTGTTATCCTTGAAGAAGTTTCTGGGACAAATAGGTACTGTTATGAGTTGCTCAGATGGGAAGTGCAATCCATTTTTCTCTTTGAGAATCAAGAACAGGGTTTATTCCTTACCAGCCCATCTGCTCTCTGCTCTGCCCTGGTATTTGGTTTAGCTAACTTTATGTATTGGATTTAGTGATTTCATCCTCTTGTATTATCTCAGTTTAACCTCTTGAAAAGAAATGCACTTCTTGTAATATTTTATGGAGAAGCTGGAATGTTAATCTTTGGAATGTATAGTCTTTTTTTTCTTTATGTACTCTCCACCTAGTCTCTCTTTACTGCTAGTGAGATTTTTGTTTGTATTCCACAAATGGGCAAGCTACATACCAGCAAACAATAGATCTTTTTGGTTGTTGGCTTACCATATTGCGAGCCCTGCAAGTGGAAAGAGGATAGGATAGAAATAATATAACATTCTTTATTAGGATGTTACTTCAGTTTTGGCATCTGTTGTGGTGAAAGAAGATAGTTATGTTCATGAAAAGAAGAACTTTCTGAAAAAAGGTATTTCCATTTAAACTGATTGGGAAATAAAGTTTTAATTACTGCCATATACTAAAAGCAAAGAAGATGGCTGGAGGCCATTCTCCCTATCATTATCTTTGTTAAAACTTCAATAATTGCATATCTGAAGAGACTAGAAAGGTTTACTGGAGTATGCGAATATCTTTATAAGGTTGCCTTTTTCAAACAAAATACTTTTGAACTAGCTGCATTTAAAGTCTGTAAACTCCCTAAGAAACATATAATGGAATAAACACATTGCCAAACATTAGAGAGGAGGTAAGAGTCCTAGCTAGTGAGATTAAAAAAAACTATTAGAGCCAAGTCTAAGTATTCTGCCAACAGTAAAGATGCTATGACATAATAGGCCCTTTTCCCAGATTTCTTTGGCTAATCTCAGAAGATAGAAAAGCATCAGAGATGATGTTTAAGTTCATATTGAAGCATTAGAAATCCCAATTTGACATTATATATAGGATAAAAAGTGTAACACCTTTAATAATGCCTTAAGGCACATTGGAAAACTTTCTGAAACGAATGTACAGCCTGTAAAGTTGTTTAAACATTAGGAGGGAGGTGGAAAATTACATTGCATAATCAGTTCCATAACTATTCTGCACTGAAGACTACGGAAAGGATCTTTGGACAATATTGGCCCCCTCGGCTAAGTAAATTATACTAGATTACAACAGAGTGGTGCAATGGCTCAGTGGTTAAGACACTGGATTTATTGGCTGGAAAGCCGACAGCTTGGGTTTGAGACCCGAGCATTGCATGAAGGGTTGAACTCCCGTCCTTGCTCTAGCTCCTGCCAATCTAGCAGTTTGAAAGCATGCATATGCGAGTGGATAAATAGTTACCATATGCTGGGAAAGTAACAGTGCTCTGTGACATCATGCTAGCCACAAGACCATGAAAATGTTCTCAGACAAGGACAAGGCTGGCCCTTGAAACAGATGAGCACTGCCCCCTATAATCAGCAACTACTAGCAGAGTAAAACCGCAGGGGCTCCTTTAGTTTACAACAATAGTACTGCTATTTGGATCACTTAGGAAGAGTGGTATGTAAGAATGCTTTATATTTTGTTAAAGAGCTTTCAAAACACAAGATAATTCTGAAAATGAGCAATAGTTTGTTATTATGAATACCATAGTATTTAAGCTTTGGCTATATGCAGGATTCCTGTTTAGGTGGTTCCTAATAACAAGATGCCTAACTGTGTAATATAGTTGTATGATGATAAGTTGTTCTGTTGCTCTAAAGCAAAGTGAATGGGAGAAATATGAAGCAATTAAAAACTCTCCTAAATAACCATTTTAAAATATGGAAATAAGTGGAATAATTAATCTTTGACTATTTGTCTTCTTCCAATGGTTTTTTCTGAACAATTCATAATTACCTATTTAATAAGTTTTGTTATAGCAATAATTTAAGAAAATGAGGATGAAGAATAAATGCCATAAATTGTTACCACTTTCCCTCAACTACTGAGCAACACTTCAGTTGCTCTTGAACTTAAAAATGTATAGTAATGTATAATTAAATCCAAACTGATTATATGGCTTCTATTGTGGGAAATTACAGTAAGTGAGAACACACTGAATATTAATATCATTCAACTGTTAATATGTGTACTTCACAACTGTTAATATGGGGTTAACTATATGCTGTTGAATATAAACAGACTACAGACATGAATTAAGAGAGACAAGAATGTATTATTAATGTATGTGATACATACGTTTGTATCATCTAATATGAGTGAGGGACCTATGGCCTTTACTGACTTGCATCTTGAAGTAACCCCAACAAGAAGTATGGCCAATGGTGAGGGATCATGGAACTACACTTGCACAAGATGTGGAGAACACACATTTCAGCCAGATCCAAGAAGGCAAATAGCTTTACAATATTTTCAGTGAGTAAAGATAAATAGGATTGCAGAATGGGAACTCTCTTTTGTATCCCTCTAGAAAAAATATCTAATGCAACTGCCTCATCTTTAGTAACCTTACAAAGGCATATAAATTTATCTACTCACTCTACATACATAAGGCATATACATGCCTTTTATAATGTAGCATATAACAGAATGGACCTGGCAAAAATACTTAATGTAGATAGGCCCATTATATCTTGTAATGAAATCGAGACTGAACTCAAGAATATGCACAGAGTGCAATAATAATATAAACTCTGCAACTAACCAGTCAAGAAGCATGGGGGCATTTTTAAACTACAAACAGACTAATCTAATAGAATACAATGATAGGAACAAAAGCAACACCAAGCTTAACCAAACCAAGAAGTTGTTTTTTGCATTTGTAAATGGTGACAGACCAAGAACATATATAGATAATGCAATAATAATCAGTCCAGTCCTGTCCCGCCCCACACCCTGACAAAAAAAAATGGTAACCAGTGGGTAGTCATATTATCTGGATCAATAGATAAAAGTTTCTCCCTGACTTTGGATACCTGGAAGGATATATGCCTTTCATCTCCCCTGTCTCAGTGACTGTGTCCCTGCAACAACTTATGCAGATGGAAGCCTTGTGAAGGAAGTCACATGAGGAAGATGCTGATTTTTGACCCTCATAGAAGTCATCATGGCATTTTTTTCTTGGCGTACACCATTGAAATTCCCTAAATTGGCCCATGGCTCCAACAACAACAAAAACAATATTTTATAAACTTTTGTCTTTATTCCAATCTGTTTTACAGAAAATATTTTGATTGTTCCTTTTTTCATGAGAGTATATAAATAAGGTTTCCTCCTCAACCTATAGCAAATTCTGTAAGTTGTCAAACCACTTGAAATTTCAAATCCCTTTTCAAAGTTTGCAATTGTGACTATCTCAGATCAAGTTTTTGCTATTTTATCTTTAGCTCTTGTCTTTGAGGTATGATACAAACTCAGGAAATTGATGTGACATATATTATGGGTTCTTTTGGACCTGAAGCAAGATGCTGACCTTTTCTTCTCCTTTCTATTTCCTTTGGCAGACCTGAAGATAAAAAAAAAATTGAACTGTTTTCTGAGAAACTGTTTGTAGTGTTCTTATTTTACTTCTTTATTCTATAGTGAATCATGCAGTTTATCCTGTGTTAGTCTGGTTTATTACACATTTGACAATAAATGCTGAACACTGTTTTTTTCCATCAAAATATTGTCTCCTTGCAGTCACATTTTATTTATTAGGCAACCAGCGAAAGTGTTTATGAGAGGGGAAGAATGAAGATATTTCTTTACTGTGGCAAGATTGGGACACGGAAATGTTTACTTCTTGGAAGTAGTTAAAAAGGTAAATTCAAGGAGGAGACAATGTGAATAACCTGAAATAAGAGGTTTCCCTCACTTTATAGGCATTCACTAATATGTGAATTTGCTATTATGAAAGTGATTGTTTTTGTCTAGGAATTCACTTTATTATGAAAAAAAAATCTTATTTGGGATTTGTGCCAGCATAGCTATTTTGCTGGTCCAGAAACATGCCAAGATTTCTTCCCATCAAAATCATTTGAATATTTTCCCACTAAAATCCCTCACTCATGCATTTACCGTCATTTTGTACAGTTGTTCTGACTATGTCTTGTCTCAGTTACTTCTATATCTAGAATACTTACTACATTTACAGTGGAGTCAAAATGTCCATTGACAACTTTTGCAATCCCTTTACCCAAAATGAAAAGAGGAAAAAAACCCTTGCTAAGATTAGAAACAAAATTGGATACGTTACATTGCATCGAAGCTGATAAAGAAGCCTCAATCCTATGATATGTTTTTAACCTGGGTGAATTTACTGTTTGCAACATAACAAATGGTGCCAATAAAATTTGTAGTGCTGTGACATATTGTGCCTCTTTATTTGCCATTAAATATGACAAATTAAACTATAGAAAAAAGGAGCAAATGCTTTCACTGTACACAGAACACGAAGCAAGGAGAAAAATACACTTGAGCAATGTAGTGCTTAAGACTAAGATTTTAAAATATATTAGTACATTTGTCAATTCATTGGGGTTACAAAATTTGATACCTGTTGTGACCCCGATCCCCGAGCCTGTCTTATCGGAGGGAGAAGACTCCGAAAGTGGAGGAGAGGAGTTGGCAAGGCCTCCCTCTCCAGGACCCTCCTCTCTGGCAATGCCTCAGGTGTCTTCCGAAGGAGAAGAGATAGGCCAGGAGCCAGGCACTTCCGAGCAGCCGCAGTTAGACAGTGATGGAGATAAGTCTTGGCTGGATCCCTAACAGCGTCGGAAAGACAAGCGCGCGCAGCAGAGAAGGAGGCGTGCCAGAGATTAAACTGAGTCACTGGACCACACCCCACAGGGAATAAAAGGGGGTGTGGTGGCCATTCAGGCTTTGTGACGGACAAAACTGAAAAGCTAGCAAGTCATACTCGTTTCTGGAACTTTGTTATATGCCTTCCTTGGATTTATTATGGACTGGACTTGACAATTCTTTGGCTTTGTGAACTTATTTTGGTTTATCCGACGGAGGAGGAAAACCTCCCTTTGTGAGTAAAGTTTATGGCAAGCAGCTACTGGGTTGCTGCCAATGCTGTTATCTCAAAGAAATTCCTGACTGCTGGTTTTATTAACTCCTGGCTGACTGTTTGTGTGCGTGTGTGAGTCGGGGACAGAACAATACCAAATGCCTGCAAGCCTTTTTTCCCCAACTGGTTCAGTGAATCACTTTATGCATTTTTTAAAAATGTAAGGCCTTGAAGAATGAGAATGCAAACATAGCACGAAGGGTGGGAAACTTGTAGGGATATGAGATGTTACATGATTGCTTTTGGAAGTTCCTTAATTAAAACATAAAATGCACACCCAAAGGTGCATTTTCTTGTTTTTTTTCTTTGAAAATGTTTTTATGTTTTTATGTTTTCATTTCTCATTCAAGAAGCTTCCTCATATCTAACTGAAAAGAGAATAATTCACTTGGAAACAGGAAAAGTGAAATTAAAACGGTTATGAAACAAGTATTCATGATCTTCAAACATACACATAAATTTCTGCAGGTAGAGTTGCTAGGAAGAACAGGAAGGTGATGCTCTGATGTAGGGAAATTTCCTATCAAATAATAGAATACTGGTCAAGCAAAGTCACTGTTTTTTTCTTTTTTCTTTCTCACTAAGAGTGAGAAAAACACCCACTGAGAAACCCTGATTTAGTGACTTCAAAACTACAAAGATTAAGAATAGTTTACAAGAACATGAGGGACGCGGTGGCTCACTGGCTAAGTGCTGAGCTTGTTGATTGAAAGGTTAGCAGTTCGAATCCCTAGTGCCGTGTAATGGGGTGAGCTCCCATTACTTGTCCCAGCTTCTGTCAACCTAGCAGTTAGAAAGCACCTAAAAAATGCAAGTAGAAAAATAGGGACCTCCTTTGGTGGGAAGGGAACAGCATTCCGTGCGCCTTTGGTGTTTAGTCATGCCGGCTAAATGACCACGGAGACGTCTTTGGACAGCGCTGGCTCTTCGGCTTTGAAATGGAGATGAGCACCACCCCCTAGAGTCAGGAACGACTAGCACATATGTGTGAGGGGAACCTTTACCTTTACCTTATGAGAACATAGTGGTAAAGAAAACAAAGCTTGTTAATGCTTGCTTCCAAAGCGAACAATTTGTATAGAATCCAGAAAGCTAATTAAAGATTGTGTCCTCCTTTAGTGTTCTGCCCCAGCTATGGACCCCAAAGAATGCAGCACACACAAAGTCCATACAAACCTTAGTTTACTAATTAAGGACTACATATGAGCTTTCTTAGTAGTTGTTTAAACACAAGAAAACAGCTCGTTGCGCCCATGTAACACCTCTCCTACGCGAGCTGCACTGGCTCCCGGTGGTCTTCCGGGTGCGATTCAAGGTGTTAGTTATCACCTTTAAAGCGCTCCATGGCTTAGGACCTGGGTACCTATGAGACCGTCTTTTGCCACCAATAGCCTCCCACCGACCAGTTTGTTCTCACAGGGAGGGACTACTCAGGGTACCGTCAGTCAAATTATGCCGACTGGCGACTCCCAGGGGGAGGGCCTTCTCTGTGAGGGCCCTTTGGAATGAACTGCCCCCTGAGATACGAAATATCCCTGATCTCCGTGCTTTCTGCCGTGCCCTCAAAACCCTGATGTTCCAACAGGCGGGGCTAAACATATGAACATGTGAATGTTTCTAAAATGTTATCTAATTTTAGGTTCTATTGGGTCAAACTATGTTATAATAATAATTTTAATTAGCAATTTTATGATGTTTGTGTATCTATATTTTTCTTGACTGTACATGGCCTTGAGTCCTACGGGAGAAAGGCGGTATAGAAATATAATAAAATAAATAAATAAAATCAGTCTTTTCTGAACAAGGGCTGTTAATTTAACTTCATTAACAGCCGACAAGAATCCAAAGAATAACTCCTCAATTCTGAGGCATAGTATTTCAGATAACCATAATCTTACTGTGGTTGGCAGAATGCCCAGAAGCAATTTTCAGGAAAACTGACAAGATAAACAAGAGCCGAATCAAACGTTTCTGGAATCAAGACGTGAAGGAATATGAACAAAGTTGTTTCCTGCAAATTGCATCAGCACTACACCAACCTCCTCGCTGTCGGAATCAGTTACTAACTGCACAGGCCGCTGACGGGCCACAACATTTATGTGGATTGCAACATTGAAATTGCTGGTAGGCAGCCTAGACCCTGCAAACCACGGTTGTGACACTTCCAATGTGGCCACTAATCTTTGGCAGGGGAATTAGCCAGAAACAATGGATAGTGTCATGTGCTAGATCATCTCAAGTCCATATGGGAAATACCACAAAGGTTATGCAGGATAACAGGGTTAAGATATTGTGGATTTCGAAGTCCAGACAGTACTGGCCAATCAATCAGACATTGTGGTGGTAGAAAAGGACAAGACAAGCAGAGGTGATAGATGTAGCAGGGCCAAATGACAGCAATGTCAGGAAGAAGTATGAGACTCTGAAGAACAACAAGGGCCTGAAAGGAGATATCTATTCTGTTTACTTTTATGGGATGGATCAATTGTCCTTTATATTCATTTGAATTTTCTCTGAAGAAAAAAGAAAAACAAAACCAGATTCTTAGCCTTAGCTTCTTAGAGACTTTGTGCATGTTTGTGTATGTGTGTGCACTTACATTCTAAATGTGTTAGCATAACATTTATTTCTACCTAAATAATAATTGAAAAATATTGTTTCCTGTCTTTTTCGGGGGTTTAAAGATCCGGTGCAACTTTTCCACCTTATCAATTTAGTGATGCCAATAATAGCTGAAACTGATCCTGAAAATTGCATTCCGAGATAAATATGTGCACATGACATGTTTGTTCATATATGTGCATACACATACTTGTCTGTCCACAAGTGAAAGATAGGCCAGATCAGGAAACAAATACCACAAGAAACATTGGAACTTTATTGCTATAGGGTATAATAATAGAATCTTGGAAGCCTGGTAGTAGAATTTCTCCCTTCCCTCTCTTATATTATGATGGGGCAGCTCTTGAGTTTTTTTCTTATCCTTGCCTCTCTTTCAGATATAACTTTATGTTAGTGCTCTTGCATTCCTTCTTCAAGATTATTTCTATATTCCTCAACATTATCAAAAGCTACATGCTACACTTCACAAATTGAGTGGTCAGGGCCATGGAGATAGCTGTTATCTATCTATAGTTAATAACTACAAATTATAATAAACTATAAGAACATCAGAACTTAATTCTGAAGGAATGAAGCCAGGGTCAAAAGCATTGACCTGCCCTATAATAGTATAACTAGCAGGAGAAAGGATGGTTTCTACTATTTATTTTTTAAAAATGACTCAAAAAGATACTGATCACTGGAGAGTAGGAAACAACTGGGCATTTTCAAGGGGCATCCAACAGAAATATTGATTTAGCAGTTAGGAGTTTTGAAGATTTGTTTGACTATATTAGTATAAATTATTTTTTTAAAAAAATAGAGCTGTCTAATAATCACCAGTTAGCAGTTAGGGGTTCAAATATCTCTGATTTTATTTAGAAATCATTGGATTTTTGCATACCAAATCAATAGTTCTAAGAAGACAGGCACACAGCCCCTAGTTTGTGCTTATTTGTACTGTATGACTATCATTAAGTGTTGTACCTTATGATTCTTGATGAACGTATCTTTTCTTTTACGTACACTGAGAGCATATACACCAAAGACAATTTCCTTGTGTGTCCAATCACACTTGGCCAATAAAATTTCTATTCTATTCTATTCTATTCTATTCTATTCTATTCTATTCTATTTATTCTATTCTATTCTATTCTATTCTATTCTATTCTATTCTATTCTAGTCTAGTCTAGTCTAGTCTAGTCTAGTCTAGTCTAGTCTAGTCTAGTCTAGTCCTAGTCTAGTCTACAGCACCTACAGTAGTTAATAATGGGAGTTTAATAACATTGACAGTAGAAACTATCACATCTGGACTGCAAAAATACTGATACCCCAGTGCATGGCAGAAAAGTGAGTTCTCCAAGTCTTTTTGCTGCAAAGGTTTATTCTTGTGGAAGTTAGAAGTTTGATGGCTCGTATAAGCCTTGGCTCAATTATTAAGCTCCAGGAATAATTAATGCTGTCTTCATCTCCTCTATTTTGTTTCTTTTTCCTAACATTTTTCCATCCCAACAATTCACATGCATGATCATGGATGTAGACCCACACATTTATCAACACTCTGAGCCATTGATAATAAATACCTTTTTTTGGCAAGATTTCTTGGATTTTCATCCTTCCCTTCAATTATAATAAAAAACTGTGAACATTAAAATTTGTGGAGCATAAAGCTTAATCTATTTCATTTATT